TCGAGGCAGTGCTGACCTATGCTGTAAAGCTTCTAGCGCCGCCACATACACATCAGCTTCTGAATCTTTAAGCTGCTCACCAATGAACTCGATGACAGCTTCAGGCAAATTCCGCAGTCCAGCAATTGCTCTATACCCGCCAGTACTCTTCTGGGGGGTAGTGCTGTTAAGACACCGAACAAAAGCCTTTGCAAATGACGCACACCCTGGTGACTTATGAAAGATATTGCTAAAAAAATCACATGTTGCCTCGCTCCAAGAGTCCAAATGCCCGTATACTTCCTGAGCCAGAAGTTCGCTATGCGCATCCGACAAATTTGACTGATTCAATAATACGCGAAGTATCTGGCTGGTGTCATGATCGGTGTCCTTAAGCAGTCCAACAAGAACATCAACAGTCTTCATGGATAATGCAGATTGGTATTGCATGGCCTTTATGGTTTCGTGACGTAGTTTATCATCATTTTGCCCGATGAAGCAGCCTATCGTATCTGAAATCTCGTTGGACCAAGTTCGTCGTTCAATGGATTTTAGGATTGCGGATTTGACTTCGATGCTCCCTTGTTGGAATGCAATCTGAAGAGAATTGTCGGGAAACTCGTTTTCACGAGCGAGACCTGCGCGTTTCGTTAAACTGTATTCAAACAGAAGCCAATCTGAAAGTCTCTGCTCGAAATCGTTTCGATGCGGCTGGGAGCCTGTAAGCGCTACTTCGCTCAAGCAGTGCATAATCAATCGCTGATGAGAGGGTCCAAGAAGATCGGATGATTCCCGTTCAATCTCACTGAGTAGTTCGAAACTTCGGTCTTGTTCGTCCAGAAGGCCAGCAACAAAGCGCCACATAATGTCATATCCTGTAGCATATTTGTGCTGTCGGAGGAAACCAACCGGCGAGATCGTCTCGACGCTCTTTTGGCCAAACACTGTGTACTTCATCTCACGGTCCTCTTTCCTTTCCCAATGCCGAACGAAGAATCGTGCCGCAAAGTACTCTTGGAATGTCAAATGTATGAAGTGATACGACTGATGTTCGGTCTTGGCTGATTGGTTTGAAGTTCGTATGAACGAGAGGCGCGGCAAGCTGTCGTTTGGCGCAAACTGGAGCTCAGAGTGACGACGGGCGTTTTGCCAGTCTCCAAACCCGAACTCCACTTTACCCGCAACTAGTCCAGAGAAGGCAAGGTGCTCGAGGAAACGCAGCTCGTCCTTGACATGAAGTTCTATGAACGTCTGGAAATTATCACTCAATAACTTTTCTGTGATGTATTTCCCCCGAAACATCTTCTCGAGTCGTATGATATCCTTCTTCCAGAGACTCGAATTGATGGCCTGGTAGAGCGACGTCATCGTATTAGGCTTCTGATTACACTCGCTCCCAATGTCGTCCCAGCAGTAGCAGAAAGCATCTAGCTGTATTGGTATGCGAACAAGACTCTGAACCAGCTCATGGGTCCGGAGGAACGCCTTGATCTCATCCACTTTCTTCCCATGAACTTTATCAATATACTCGTCTACTTGTGCTGGGCTGAAGCCGATAGTCTCTAGCTCAAGGTCGATATTGATGCCGTGCGGAAGAGTCGCAGATGGTCGTGATGTGACGATGATGTTAGACTGGCTGAGGAGCTCGCTAAATATATCGTCACCCTTGCCTTGCTCAGCCACTTCATCCCAACCGTCAAGGACGAAAAGGGTCCGTTCGCGTACAAGTGCTGTACATAATTCTTTAGCAAAACGTTTGCTATCCTCTTCCGAAAATCGGAAGAATTCATGACGTAGGAGGGTCGTGAGGTCGTATCCAGGGCTTGCTTGTTGCTTCAGATTTCGTAGAGGAATCCAGAGCACACGATCGAACAAACTATTCCACATCTTGTTTTCCATGAAATCATGGACCAGCTTCTTGCATAAAGTGGTCTTGCCAACGCCGGCGCGTCCACGTATCAAGATTTTTCGAGGTAAGATTTCAGTGCCATCGGATCTTTTGCGCTGGTTAAAAATGTCTGCCAAACGAAGCTGGGCATTCTCTTCTGGCAGCTCGACTTTCTGTCGCGCAAGAAGCGAGAAGGGAGAGGAGCGCGGCGCCGAGTTTTCCTCTTTCGAACGGTTTTGGGCAGACGTGCTCAAGTCGATCTGCTCCACAATTACGAGATTGATGTAGGATTGGCCTTTGTCCAAAAGGTCTCCCGAAAGCCGCATAATGTTGAGTTTCTCTGGAGTATAGTGCTCTTTGCGTATCCAATTGTCTGCCTGCTCGAGAGTTGTTCCAGTCTGAATCTTGGCAAGAAGGTCCTGTATATTTCTCACAACTGTCCCATAGTGCGGGTCGGTGTCTTTTGGTCCACGAAACTTGTTCATCATGACATGGGGTCGGTCGAGTGCGATTCGGTCTGGAACACAATCTAGCGTCGCAGAATCCATATCAACGAGCTGCCAAAGAGAGATTAGTAGAGTGGATGGTTGGTATCTATAACTTGCTCATATCTCACCACTTTCTTTCCCGATGGCAGCAGCCATGAAGAGAAGGGAACTTTCGCAAAGAGGCGTGAATGTCGTTTCTCATAGAAAGTAATCACTTTAAGTCCTTCGTTGTTTGGATTGACGCATATTCGGGTAAACTCGCCTACGAGATATACAAGACCAAATTCCGATGACTTTACCCATTCAAGAAGCTCAGTCAGCTGCTGATCGCGAATTGATGCCCAGGCTTGTAAACCCGGCTGCGCCCACAAGGCTACGTCTTGAAACGAAGTGCCACGGAATGGCGTTGCGAGAAAAATAATCCCACGAGTGGCTTCTCGAATAGTCGCATATTGGTCTTTGGCCTCGGCAAGAGCCTGCATCAAAATAACCCCTCCAAGACATGAGGCGATGAAGAGAATCTGCCGGTCCCCTCTTGGATTCAATTCAAGAATACATTGGCGAAGGGATGCAGCAAGCTCTTCGATCTTGAATGGGACCGAGTCTTTTGCTTCGAAGAGTTTTGCTGGCCAGTCGCATGCGAAGATGCGGGTGCCGGGAACCTCTGCAGGAAGCATGTGTTCATCGGCCAGCCAGTTGACCCACATCTCTCTATTCTCAAGATCACGAGGATCTTTCCATGTCCACGTCTCTTTTGAAGTTGTGTCTAGCCCATGGATGGCGATAATATCAATGCCTGTATCTGTCCCTGACGGGTTCGCAACACATTTGTTGAGGTGGTGGATCTTGAAGTCACGCTGTTGTTCGATCGCTTCCGTTTGACGTGTCGCGGTTGTCGTTGTTGCCGCCAAGATAATGGGCATAGCTCTATAGAGCCCAAAAACAATAATTGCAGCTGCACCAGCCAGGAGAAGCAACAGGCCAGTGTACATCATTGTGATCAGACAGATTAGTTGTCGAACGATGTGTAACGGCTCAGGTTTTTGAGCGTGAAGTAGTCGGTATTCGTCTGTACACGCAAGTGAGAGCGGTTCTTTCAAATCAATTTGAATTTGAAAATCAAGCACGTGCGATGATGGTGAAGATGTGTGCATTGAAATGATTGCCCCTTTACTGACGATATGGGTGTTCAAGTAGGTAGGTAGGCAGGCAGTCAAGTCAAGCCTTACACTGGGCCATAATGACACCCAATCGTTGTCACACTCGACTTTTGGCAGCAGCGGCTGCATGAACAGATACGAAAGCTGAGGCGGCAAATTCAGATGCGAACAGCCGATACTTTCCCGCTTTCGGTCGGGGTTCTTGTTGTGCGGTATTTCAAAGGCTCATCGTGCAGACTGCAGAGTGGTTCTTTAATGCCCATCTACCGCCCGTTTCCCTCTTCCCCATCCTCACTTAACCTCAATGCCAGCATCGTTTCGCGCCAACGTCATGTTATAGTAATCAGGACCTTTATTGTCCAGTCTCAGGTCACGAAGATGGCCTGCAGTGAGTTCGTTGAACACCTCAAATAAGTAAGCACCAATACAACAGGTCCTTTCGGCCCTGACAAGGGTTCAAGCCGGTTAGCGATGCACACCAGGCCTTACTCGGAGGAATGGGGCGCACCAACTTATGATCACTGCCGACCAATCAAGTGAAATATTGGATGTTTTGCATTTGGTCCAAGGTGTTGTGATTAAATCTTTGGTCATTTGATCGTTCACCTGAGAGGTCTTCTTTCCAGCATGAAGCCCGGGAAAGGATGCCTATGTTCATCTTTTTCTTTTTCTTCTTTTTGCAGGAAACCCCACCACATGCCCTTTTGATTTCCCCTCACATACCTGCCAACACCCCCGCCCGGCATGCAACCCAATCGAGGGGAGTTTTTTCTAGCCGATGGATCGCGGGTCGGCTCGCTCTCTAGAGTAATCTAAACTCAGAATCTAATAATCAGCACTTAGAGGGACGAATTCTTGAGGATGGGAGGGGCGGTGGTACTATCTTTCACCTATATAGAATCGTGATTGTACATTAATACGCTGGAAACCCCTCTTCTCTTGGATTAATTGCCCTACTCTAGTTGTCGGGCGTCAGTGTGCATGTAGTGGGATGGAGCTAAGATTCCTTACGGCACGACCGTGCTATGATACTGCGTCAAGCCTATCAATGTGCTTGAATAGCCGCTGATTACATTGAGGCACATCTCAACTGACAAATTGCACGCTCTATCTGTTCTACAGCACTCCAAGGAGGCAGAACTTCAAAGGAGCCACGATCGCAGCGATCGTGGGTAAGTCGAATCAAACGCCCCCTCCACCCCCCCTCACCAGCTTAAGTAGGGCAGAGCGGACGGGATGCTGTGTGTTCTAGTGCGTATGGTCGTGTGTGATTACTGGTTCTAACAATACATTACATATACCACGTCTGGGCTGCCCCCGCCAAATCGCATCTTGCAGCCATACATATTAGAATGCCTGGGTTGTAAGACCCATCCTTGTTTCCGTGGTACTCCTTTGAAAAGATTTGCATTTGATTTCATGTTTCTTATTGACGCAAGCAAGTGTTTGTGGAACATTTCGGGTTTGGAATCCCAAAGCACTGTATATAGTTTAGAGATTAGAATGAATATTTGAAATTTGTCTTGATCCACTAGTTGGTTGAAAAAGTGTGTGACTTTATGTTTATCTGTGAATATACCGCTACAAATTAAACATGTCGACACTATTCTGCCATGCTGTATTTGCGACTTGCTCTACACTAATCCCCTTGAGCCCTGCCACAATCAAGGCAACCTTTTCCATGGAATTACTCTCGTTGCGCTCCTTGACCATGTACTTGGGATCCCATTTATCCTTCTTTTTGCTCAGCGGTGCAGGAGCCGCATTCACCAAGTACCGCTTTGCAATGTCGGACGTGGCCTTGATCTCACCCCACGGGGCGTCGGTTTCAATCTGCAGCTTCTCCAGTGGAATCGCCGCCACCATGTCCAAGCTCTCTCGGTCCTGAAAGCTGAACCCATTCACGCTCACGTCGAATCCCAGGTCAACAAGTTTCTCCATTTGAGCGCGCGTGCCGACAAAGCTGTGTACCAGCCCGCGCCGTGGTAGTTTTTCCAGGTAAGGGCTGATGATGTCCACAAAGTCGTCAAATGCAGCGCGGCAGTGGAGGAACAGAGGCAGATCCCATTTCTCCTTGATAACCATGTCCAGTTGCGCCTTGAACGTGGCAATCTGTGTCTCCTTGTCTGCATGAACGAGACGGTCATAATCCAGACCCAATTCTCCGTATGCCTTGATCAGAGGCACTGGCTCCGCTAGGGCGTCCCTGATGGCTTGCCCCAGTTTGTCATAGTACTCTGATCCCGCGGGACCAGGTTCGCCGGCATTATAGGGATGCACCCCCATGGTGACAAAGCAAGAGTTTGGAGGTCGCGACTTGGCGATTGCCAGGTTGGACGAGACGTCGGTCACCGACATTCCAGTGAGCATGACCTTTTCTACTCCCGCATCCCATGCCCGGTCCAGCGTGTTGGTAAAGTCTGGTTCATGGTATTGTTTTCCTCGATAGATGCCCGCAAACTCTTTCGCTGTTGGTGTGACGGCTACCTGTTATCCCAATTAATGAAATGTGCTTCACTGATCGCCTTGTAGGACAATACCAACATCTGCATAACGCAACTTGTTCTCGGGCCTTGAGGGTGCCGCCTGGGGCAGTCCAGTAAGATCCATTATGTGCTCCTGACTTGGAGAATGACTGTATAATGTTTGTGCACGTGTCAAACAGTGTAATTTGTCAAGTTCTATTCCACAAACTTGGTCGAATCAAGAGTGTCTTGCAGGGCGCGGTGTCAATTTCGGGAGAGGACCGAGTGGATCCGGCAGAGATCCGGTACCGGGATTGTGCTTCGGAGACCCCCGCCGCGAGATGATCGCCGGGATGCCTTGACATGAAGGGCGTGCAGTAAGACGAGGAAAAAAGGCAAACAACTCGACATTTGTTGCAATTCCCCATTTGATTCTCTCAAACAGGATCAAAAATGGCAAAACTCTCCGACTTCAAAGTCCTCTCATTTGATGTCTATGGTACCCTCATTGACTGGGAAGCGGGGATCGTCAATAATCTCCAACCACTGCTCCAGGCCAACAATGCCAGCTTTAGCAAGGAGAAGCTGTTGCACGTGATGCACGAGTGCGAGCGTACACAGCAGGCTGCTACTCCCGACCTCAAGTACCACGAGCTGCTCGCAGCCATTCATCCTCAGATTGCCGAAAAGCTGGGGCTGTCGGCGCCGCCAGCCGAGCAGAGCCAGGCGTTTGGCGCCTCCGTGGGGAGCTGGCCCGCCTTTCCCGACACGGTTGAGGCACTCAAGAAGCTGGGGACGCACTACAAGCTGGTGATCATCTCCAATGTCGACCGCGAGTCGTTTGCTGGAACCAATAGTGGGCCGCTGGAAGGCGTCAAGTTTGATCTTGTGCTCACGGCGCAGGATATTGGCAGTTACAAGCCTGATTTGCGCAACTTTGACTACATGATCAAGGAGGTGCAAGAAAAGCTCGGCGTCTCAAAGCATCAGATTTTGCAGACTGCCCAAAGCCAATTTCACGATCACCATCCCGCCAAGGCAAAGGGTTTGAAATCATGCTGGATCACCCGGCCGGGAGCAATCATGGGCAACAGAGATCAGTCAGTATATGACTGGAAGTTTGATACCTTGGGACAAATGGCAGCTGCTCTAGAGAGCGAGCTGGCCCATGAGTAGTCGATTATCAGCCGAACCTATCACCTTATACCATGTTGGCGGCGAAACACTTGTATGATCCATATCCATTCATTTTATGATGTAGCTTCAGATCTTTGTCAGTTCAAGTTGGTAAGCGGCGTTCTCTTATCTCGATCATGATAGGATATTGTCATCCCGCGACTGTGGGGGTCTATGGCTCACGCATCTTCATCTTTCCTGATTTGAGATTTTTAGACGGAATCGGAATCGGATTTGATATCAGTATGTCAATCCGAATGCAACCAGCATCGTGACATGTCCAAAACTGGTAATATTTACTCAAGTCGTCGGCACTTGTTGAGAAGCATCTTTATTCCGCATCTTATCAGCGACGGTCACGCGCATCACTCGTACTCGGGAGTTGCGGATCATTGTTGGCTCACAGACTTTTGAATCAGAACAGAATAGCGTTATCATTGAATCTGGGGTACGGGGATGATTATTGTAAGCTGAGAAAACCTAAAATGGTTGAATGTTGATTGGTCTGTTTGATAAGCCTTGATTTGAGGGGTGTAGAGTGGCATATAAAGAAGTACAAATCATCAAGTACGGCGGAATGACTTGAGAAAAAGACACTTGCACTTTGAATGATCCCAAGATATAAATTGTTCAAGAAATCCATTGAAATAACGGACAGGACAGTCCCTCTTATATAATGTTCTATCGTGCTAGTCACAAGCCGGGCGCTAAATTCGTCTATGGAATCTTTGGTGTCCAGTACCCAGGCAATGAACCCACCTCGAGCCAACTGGACCTAATCAAACGGTTCGATGAGCTCATCGATGGCAAGGCTCACCTCGATCGCATCGTCTACCCGACCAAGAACAAGGATTTCGGTACCCGCATCTGGCTGTCCTACTGGCGGCCCGAAACCTACGCCGCGTGGTGGGCCAGCGATCCCGTCAAACAGTTTTGGGCGTCACTACCAGAAGACGCCGGGATATGGCGCGAGATTTTGACCGTTGATGTGGGCAGAACGCAAAATGCAGTCACTGCAGAGCTCAAGAATGGTGTCAATGGTCTCGATGGGATGGAGGGATTTACCGAAAAGATTGGCTACTGGGGATGTCTACGCGATCGGCTCGCCCAGTCCTCCCCCGAAGAAAAGTTTCCCTCTTCATTGACACAGATGCCCCAGCGGGTACCAGAGACTGATTCTATACGCCGTGGTCGCACAACCATTACACGACTTCCGGACAATATCATGTTTCTCGTAGAAGGCCAAGACCACTCGGCCATGACGCCCGAGGAAAAGACGTACTGGTTTGAAGAGTTTGACGAGCTAGTCACGGGCTGGATGCACCATTTGGGGGACAATGCAGCCGATAATGGATTGCTGGATGTGCGCATGGGTTATGTGCCCGAGTTTGGCCGTTTCCGTGACCTGGGACCCGTCAATCTTGATCACAACCGAAAGATTGAACTCTTTTTCTGGATGGACATGAGCAAGTTTGAGCGCGTCGGTCGCGTGCACAGAGGACACGTCAAGTTGAGAAAGAAGTTTATGGAAGCTTATTGTCCCGTGGGGAAAATGGGCAATGGAGTGGGTAAAATCACATTATGGGAAGAGACGTCGATTATGAAGGGTAATGAGATTGAAGCAGAGTATGTTGGATGCCGGGAGGGGACCGGATTCATGGCATACGATGCAACTGATGCGGTGGATAGCATGACTGTAGTTTAGTAGGCAAGTCTTGATCACAGAGGCAACTGGATAGGTACCCCTTTGTGCAAGGCAAGGGAAATGGAAATAGATGTCGAAGGTACAGACACTGCGTTGCGTCCTCACTCGACCACCTCTGTCCAATGAGATCAACTGCAATTCAACACACGACACATTGTCGGGGCTGAGTAAGGCTGCATTGATGATTGGACACCGTTGCAATGGATCATGGACATGGTGGTCTAGATCTGCCCTGCAATTTTCCAAATGCTTCTGGGGATGGTAATCAGCTGGGCTCTGATTGGCTTAATCAAAAGTCAACAGCCAATGAGATTGCGCGCAAATATGCTGACCCTAAAGTGTGCTCAAGTCCCTGCATAATGGACGATTTGTGACGTCGATCTCCAGACTATCGGACCATTTCTTGACATGGCCTGGATGGCTTTGGAATGGTCGATTCGTGTATAAAACCGTCTACAATCTTGCATGAAACATTGTCTTTTCCCATCATCACTCACATCCGCATTCATCAACAAACATACAAACACAAACTCATCTGTCACTGCAAAGCTCATATAAAAAACGGCAAACCTCTGTCCATCTCTCTCAGACTTTTCACAATTCAAATCCACTCAATCCAATTCCAACACAATGGCTACTGAAATCACCAAGCCCACTTCCACCTGCTGCGGCAAGGCTTCCGGCGGCGAGTGCGTCTGTGGTAAGTTTTGGCCTCCCGTTTCAGCAAACCTTGTCAATTGTCTAACAATTTCTTCAGCCAAGCAAGCCACTTGCTCCTGTGGCAAGCAGCCTGCCCTGTCCTGCAACTGCAGCAAGGCTCCCGCTGAGAACACCGTGACTGGCGCACGTTGTTCGTGTCGTGCCCGCCCCGCCGGCGAGTGCAACTGCGACAACTCTGCCAAGGAGAACTCGGCCGTCAAGGGCGAGTCTTGCGCTTGCGGCGCCCGACCTGTCGATGCTTGCACCTGCGAAAAGTCCAGCGGAGATGCCGGCCACAATGACAACGAGATTGACTTTACCACCAAGAAATAAGTGATTACACACTTGACAAGGGTTACGGCACAGAATTGGTCTTTTTTTGTTCACGGCCCAAGCATGGATGGCGTTTTTGGAGTTGCAACGGCGAGCTAGTCAAATCACTTTTAGATTGAGGCAGGGCAAACAGAAATTGATACCCAAGATTTCATGAAAAGCCTATTGGCATGGAAAACAAATACAAAGATTATAATCATACAATTGACATGGCATTTCTATATCATCAAGATGGGAATAAGTCGTGACGTTCATGTTGTATGAATTGGGATATACCGCCGGAAACGTCTGATTTGAGAAGTGAGACAAGAGACATGTAATCAACCGCCCAACCATTTCCGGGCTGTAGGGAGTATGCAGAGTGATTGAGCCATTTCAGCTGACTGAATAACTGGCACTGAATCTATCAGACACTCAATGACTTTCCGCGATTTGCTTGACACTGGTGCACTGATATCGTGTGATTCAAAGGAGCATGTATCGTGCAGGTAATCCAGAATCAAGCATTCTGTCTCTACATGCTGCACAAGCAAGCACATGCACCGTACTGATGCATCCCTACCAGTAATTAGGCTGGCCGGTCCATCCCGAACTCCAGGGCTGGAAGCTTTGGAGCTCCTGTGGGGCATCCGGCAGAAGAGCTCCAGCGCAAGGAAACCATTGCTAATAGCAGAGCCCTAGTAATCCCCCAGGGCCTTGAACCCTTGAAAACTCTTGCGATCGGGCGATTGCTGAACATACGGTCTGCAAGCCACAGAGCCTAGGTACGTACCTGTGGCAGCCAGTAGCAAGCATTGTCCTGCAGAGCTATTGGATTGTCCCCAGTCAAGACTATTTTCAGGCACTAAAAATTTCCACAAAGCGCGTCAGTCCGAAAACAGCTCGATAAAGAAAAGCTCCTCGACTTGTTTTTCTTCACTTTTCACCTCTTCCTGTCCATCCATCAAGCCCATTGATCTCGAGCAAGCACCAGGTTTGAATTCTCGCAAGACCTACTGCTCTTCTGTTTGAAAAACAATACTGTTTGTCGACCGCCTCGTCAGCTAGGCATCCCTTTGGAACAACAATTGCCTGTGGGAATCTTACTCATCTGCGACCAACATCTCCAGAATCCACAACAGACGCGCCCTTGCGCCAACCTTTGACCACTTTTTTTTCCTCCTCTACCCACTTTCTTGAGGGGTTTTGTCCTTTTAATTCATATTACCCACCCCTATCGCACACATCCTCCCGTCTACATTGAACAAACATTGTCGCAATGCCTCCCAGAGCCAAGAAAACAGAAAGCAGCGCGCCTGCCAAGGCAGCTGCTACCACCAAAGCCTCGACCAAGTCTGCCGCGACCAAGGCCGCAAAAGTAACCAAAAAGACCACGACTGAGATTCCTTCTCGCTCTCGCAAGGCTGCGCCAGCCAAAAAGGTTGAGGAGGAGGAGACCAAAGACGATGCCGCCGAGGTCCCCGAGGTAAATGGTGATGCTAAAGAAGAGGTCGAGGAGACCGAGGAGACCGAGGAGGAGGTAGCCAAGCCCGCACAGAAAAAGACTGCTGCTAGCAGTAAAGCAGCTACCGCAACCGCCAGCAAGGCGTCCGTCAAGGCCAAGACCACCAAGCGCAAAGATCGCGATGATGAGGACCAGAAGCCAGCCAAAAAGTCGAGGAAAGCTGTTCTGCCTGGTCCAGGCAACCCCATCAACAAACTCCCCGAAGTTATTCTCGACATTTTTGTTTTTGGTGAAGGCACTTCGGGCGAACTGGGATTGGGCAATCAAAAGCACGAAAACAAGAAGCCGGTTGATGTCAAGCGTCCGCGCCTGAACCATAACCTGGACGCCCTCAAGGTTGGCGTCGTGGCCATTAGCTGTGGTGGTATGCACGTTGTTGCTCTTACGCACGACAACAAGATCCTGACATGGGGTGTCAACGACGACCGTGCTCTCGGCCGTGACACGACTTGGGACGGCGGTGTTCGCGATGCAGACGATTCCGACTCGGACGACGACGACGAAGGTTTCAAGGAGATGAACCCCAACGAGGCCACTCCAGGCCGGGTAAATTTTGACGATGTTGTCGCGGCTGGAACCAGATTTGTTCAGGTTGTCGCCACCGACTCTGCATCATTTGTCCTGACCGAGGACGGCCGGGTTTTTGGCTGGGGTACCTTTAGAGGCTCTGATGGAATCATTGGCTTCACCAACACCGTTCGTGTCCAGCAGTTTCCTGTTCAGGTTGAGGGGCTCAAGAATATCACCCGCCTTGCCGCTGGCGCAAACCATGTCCTGGCTCTGGATTCAGATGGCAAAGTCTTTACATGGGGTAGCGGAGGCCAATTCCAGCTGGGACGCAAAGCCATCACTCGTGGCAACAAGAACACTGGTCTGAACCCAGAGCCCTGCGGCAGATTTACTCGCAAGCACCACGCTGTCGCCATCTCTGCCGGCTCGTACCACAGTTTCTACATTGACAATGATGGCGAGGTCCACGCCTGGGGTCTCAACAACTACTCTCAGACTGGCCACAACGATGACGCTGGCAGAGACGATGCCATGGTGCTAAACCCCAAGATTGTCAAGTCATTGCGCGGCAAGAAGATTGTCTCGATAGAAGGAGGCATGCACCATTCCGTGGCTGCGACCGCCGAGGGTGAATTGCTCACTTGGGGACGCGTTGACGGCCACCAAGTCGGCCACCACGCCAGCGTCTACAACGAGGACAACACTGTCTATGACGAGCACGAGAAGCCCCGTATCTTGATTGAGCCCACCGTTGCTGGTAGAGGTAAGCCGAAACATGGTTAACAAGTCAAATTCCTATACTAACATGCTCACTAGACTTCAAGACCACCTTTGTGGCTGCGGGTACCGACAACAACTTTGCCATTACTGACAAGGGCACCGTGTATTCGTGGGGTTTCTCGGCAAACTACCAGACTGGTCAAGGTACCACTCAGGATATTGAAGAGCCGACCTTGATTGACAATACTGCTATTCGCGACAGGAACATTGTCTGGGCTGGTGCAGGTGGACAGTACTCGATAGTTGCTGCTTCCCACCCCACGCAACCCCCAGGAGTCGTTGTCAATGGACACATTGCACAAAATGGAGTAAATGGACACTAAACCTTGCCTCTCAGGTACCAGGTCGGCAGGGCAACTGGGCAGAGGAATGAATTGCACGATATCAAGTCGTATATCATGCAAGATACACGGGTTGTTGTATTATACGTGTCCATATTTCACGCCGTTTTCAGTCGCGCATTAGATATTGAGGAGGATGACAGCGTTATTTGAACATTAGGATTCATGAACTGGAGTTTTTCAAGGACGGCTCTCACGCAAAATCAGTATGGGGTGTTTTGCTCTCTTTTTTTCGGCAAGGTCATGTGGTGACCGAGGTGTTGGTCAATCACTGCCTGCCATGTAATAGCCTGCTTTGGAATCAAATTTTGTTGATAAATCTTTCTTGGGAATTTGCGCCCGTGAAGATTCAGCTGCATCTGCACATTCCAGCAGTCGGAAAAGTCGGTATGGTGCGAATATTGACAGGGTGGACAGCTTTGATGAAAATTCCAACCGTCATCAACCACTTGTGCTCTGGGGCGCAATGACGGGTATGACAAAGCCGGACTGGTTATGCGCAATGCTGGTCACTGTCAACCGGGATTTTGATCGCAGATCTGGGCAGGGGGTTTCACGGCATAGAGATCAGTTTTGCGCCGCAGCCAAGATGCAGGGCATGGTTGCCTGGGCACGCGCATCCGAGATGAAATTTTTCTTCTCCCCTTTCCCTGCAGGAGATCACGATGAGGTCTACAAAGGTATTGTGTTTTGGTTGTCATTCAGCTGCGAGACGTGAAAGACGAAGCAAGCTGAGCTCTGATGAAAGCAGACCGCTGTGGGCGGAACTCGGCTTTACAGTATATTAAATCCGTCGAATATTTGAAATCTTGGAGGCTCAAGCCGACCTGAGCGTGAATTTGGAATGGGGGACAGAGAGGAATCGTGGTCTCGGCACAAAAAACCGAAAAGTAGCCGCCCGTCCTCGCGGGTTGTAGAGCTAGTGGTGTGCCTGTATCATGTAGGATAGCCTCCATCAGACCCTTCTTTCACCCACGCCCGTGATCATGTAATCGAGTATACACACGAACGGAAAAAGTTTAGACTTTCAAAATGAGCAGACATCAAGATCGTCAGTCTTGATGTTTCACAACATACAGAAGCGGGACAAAACGAGTAAGGCGTGAGCGCTGGACTGTGGCATTGCCAATGTTTGAACGGTGAGACTGAGCCTGACTGATTAACAAAGCCTTGCTGGTATGGCTGGCTGTGTCCACTGTCGACGGGCCAGTTTCTAGAAGCCCAAAAGAAGCACGGGGGGCATGGGGGTCCAGTTCTGTCGAGCTGGGGTGAGGAGTGCTGGTCCCGGCTGGGTCATTAGAGATTGCAAGACAAGGGGCATTTTCGGTGAGCCTCAGTTGGTTTTTTCTCTTTTCTCTCCTCTCTCCTCTCCTTTCTCCTTCTGTACCCAGTGTGAAATATGAACCAGTGAGGTGATGGCTCAAGCGAAGCTTATGAATGAGCTCTTTTTTCTCTTTCATACGTGACGTATCTGGTAAAGATTGCAGAATTGATCGTGGTTGTCCGAGGCCATTTCAACAATCAGGCACTTTTGGCGGTCAAGCTCCACAGAACGTTATCAGTGGATGTCAGCGGGGATGAAATCGAGCTCTAGAGACTGAAAATAGCTACTCCTGGGTTCGTGCTTCTATGGGTACATGAGGCCATTGATGTTTTCCGTCGTCGGATCTGTTTCGGGATGGCAAGAGAAAAAAAAGCTTCGAGATGCAGTCAAGATCAGACCTGGGCTACGGCTTGACGGCTACCAAGAATCAAGATACCCCCAAGCAATCTAATACAAGAATGGACTAGACTGAGGCCAATCCTGGGGGTTAAGCGTCCATGTCCGACTAGGAATGCCACCTGGACAGTGAATTGTAATAACTCTTAGATCTGGATCTGTCGTGCAATACACGTACAGCAGAGGTGTACAGTACCTGAGCAGAAATTCTCCGCGATGCTTGACAAGCCGACCCCATCCACCCTGGATTACTTGGTCGGCCGTCTAATCTCCTTTTCCTATTGCTCACCGCCGCTCCGTCGGACATGTTCTTTGAGTGGCCGTAAGTTGCCTACAGACCTCAATCAGCGGGTCATTCGCCCCCGAGATCTCCTCTATTGCTCGATGGAATGATTGGATGGCTCGAGTAGCTAATCGTTCAAACTCTTCAAAGCTCGAGAAACATGTCGTGCATACCTCCCTACTTGCACAGACTGCCCAACTGCGCGAACTCCGACGTTGCAATACAGAATACTGGGGCCACCACCATTCAACGGGAAAGTTTAGTCAACTACCAACATCGGAACCACGGTACACGGGAGCTAAACACAAGTCCCAAGTAGTTTGAAGAGTAGTTTGCATGATGATGCTAATGCATGCTTGCTTTTTTTTCGTCCCCTTCTGCGGTCGACGACAAGCAAGAGACTGTGGGCAATTGACATGCCATCTCGTACTGTACCGTGCGGTCTTTGTCAGGACGAGCCAAAAATCCCGTAAGTGCCGGACTTGAGAGCAGCGACTTTCTTTCAAAAGGCCTCACTGAGGTTGGGTCTAGGCAGAAAAGGGTCATCAGCTCGAGCTAGACCACGCCTCCATCAGCCACAATGTTGTCTCAGCAGACAAGCAGTAATACTCGCCTTGGTTTAGCGTCGTGATCGTCTCCTCAAAAGTGCCAGACATCCTTGGAAAATAACAAGAGAGCAGGCAATGGTCGAATGCAATCATGCTTGCGTGGTATGAAGAGAAAAGTGAATAGGATCAGAGCTATGGGTCCTCGGCTTGGCCTACATTTAGTGTCTTGGCGATCGTCCTGTCAATAAACCCATTTCCCTGATGCAAGTCACTCTCTGTACCTGTCCACCAGCACTCGTGTCGTCTGTTGGGCCGGGCCTCTTGTTTCAACAGCAGCCGGGGTCTGCTCGCTGCGGTGCCGATCGACAATGGCATTGGCTGCTGGTGCGAAACGGACTCCATTGTCCTGTTGAGCCGTGAGAATTCATGATCTCATGGAACATTTTGAGGTGAGCAGCTCGTGGGTTCTTGGGTTCGGCGTAAACCAAACACATTGCACCTCATTCATGCCCCCGGCGAACCTCGATGATTGCCAAGCCTCATGACGATTTCTCTGCAAGACTCCCAAGAAATCGCCATTCCTTGTCAAGAGTAGAAACCAAGCCGTCTAGGCCCTACGCTGCAACGTCGTTTTTTTTTTGCGACGCTCAACATTAGACCAACTCCACAACTCGTAGGGCTCCGGATCGTCAGCAATACTAACAAACTAGCAACGTCAAGGGACCGAGAGCGAGTGAGAGAGGGGGGGTGTCTGTCTGTCAATCTCGGTTCGAAAGCAAGGGTACCTGCTTTCGGAACCCTTTCTTGCCCCGCCTCCTCCTCATTACTCACCTCACCCACCAGCCCACCAGCGCATCAGTGATAATAAACGTAGCATTGGTTCCCATGAAATGCGCGGAGACTGCAGTAGGTGAGGTAATCTAGGAGGGGTGCATGTTGCATTGATGCCGGGTAGACTTGGTGCCGCCTCCACGTTGGCTCTTACTCGCGCTGTAACGCCCAAGGCTCGCAGCGAGGGCGGAGGCTCTGAAGAGGCTGTTAATAAAACACCACAGCGCTCGACGGCGAACCCGCTAACTCCGATCACTTTGTCAAGACAGAATAGATCCACCCCATGTTTTCCTGCTCTAGGCAAGCTGGGGTCAACAGTTCGGAAAGACGCAAGAGGCAAGGGACACACTCACGTCGAGCTGTTGGCGCAGTTTGGCGGTCCATTTCAAATACGGTCCTCAATCGTAGAGGGGACGTCCGATCTGCAGCAGCACGCCGCGATGGACGAGGCAGTCATGCTATTCGACGGACTGTTTGAGCTGTAGACACCGGGGTCAAGCTGGGTGCGCCGTACTGTGCAATTACTCTCAAGGGATCTGCTTTTGGACGTTGCGTGTGTAAAGCTCCCACGGTCCAGCCACGCTAAGAATGATTAAAGAATTGGCGTCTGGATGTCAACTTGCTTTTATTGATACGTACCTATAGACCTAGGAGTACAGGGTAATAGCTATATACATACTACATACACGGTACAGGTACCAAGTAACACCCCCCTGCCGACGACACCACGGATGTCCAAAGGACTGACCAAGAGAAAAACCCGTCCGTCTTTTTTTTCCCTATCCTCTGCTCATGAAAAAAAAAACACACTGGTAAAAAAAAAGCTCCTCAAAAAAGACGGTTTGTATAAGACAGACTGCATCCTGCCCACTCTACTCAAAATGAACCATCCTTTTTCAAACATCCGACCACAACAACAACCTACAACACCAGCCTGGGGAGGGAGAACAATTAGTCTCATTCCCCCGGCAGAGGGTTGTTGGCTACCCTTTCTTCTTTACTATTCTCGTACACATTGACCTAGGTCTTTTATTTTCCACAAGCAATCGTTTCGGTACAAAACATCTTGCCTCGACCAGACTCGCTGAGCTGAGAGTGACGCACCTATATACAACCCAACCTGCATCCTCTTTACTTGTCATACTTTCTATCCATGCCTTGATACTTTTTCAATACCTAAAATGCAGCTGATGAGACCCTTTGACGGTACAGTCACTGCCTACGGAATTCGAGATCTAGGCATAGATATGGATTCTAAACACCAACAAACCCAGGACCTCTCTCTTGCACCTTCTCTCATGTCAAAGCAGCCTCTACCAGCTTGGAACACTGAATTCGTCGACTGGACGGCACACTCTATATACCACTTGACGGAAGAAGCACTTATTGAACCGGTATACCCTTCACCTGAAGACCAGGCCTTGCTGTCCCCATACTCTGCACTCCATTACAGGACTTCCTTGGCCGATCACGGGAATTCCATTTACAAAGATTTTTCCTTTTCCCAACCGTATCCCGGCATGCAAGTGGGCCAAGCAATTGTCTCTTATGATCCAGGAATCCAGCAGCATCAACAGCAGTCAAAGCAGGCGAGGCGAGAACAGGGCATGGTGTCCAATCCCGCTTACATGAGCCCGAACCCTTTTTCGGTTGATTGTACACAGTCACCATCCCAGTACTCGCTTACCGTTCCCGTTGCTGGCCCTATGCATCAAAGGGAAGCCTCGCCAAACTCTCCGCCGCCGCTCAGCCAACCGGGATGTAGTCCAAGCACATCAGGACCCTTGACGCCTACATGGTGAGTTGTAAAAGTCATTGTTGCATCCATCTTGACATTGCTAACTGTTATAGTCCTCCCAGTCGACGACTGTCTACACCGAGCGAGCTGCAGGCCTTTACCGACGCTGAACCTCTTCATGCTGAACATCTTCCCGCTGAACCTCTTCCCATTGCTCATACCCCTACCAAGAATACAGCTCGGTTTAGTTGCCCCAAAATTCCATGTCCAACAATCAAGAGAGATCTCAAATCTCTGCAACGCCATGTCATGGAAAAACACGGCAAACCGGCCCCCGGTGAAATCAAAGCAGGATGGTTCCGCTGCGCATGTGGTTCGACGGCATGTCACTACAGGAAAGCGAACCACACGCGACACTTGAACAATTGCAAGCCTCACAAGTGGAGTTTCAAGGAGTTTGTGTGCCAATGCGGTCGCAAGCACAGCAACAAGGCTGACCACACTGCACACTATATGAAGTGCAATGTCGGCAAAAACCCCGTCGGTCGCCCTCGTGGAGCTGGACCTAATGAATTCCCAGCCAGCGATGCGTAGTGATCAACATGGTGTTTTGCTACCAAAGAGTCCCCGGTTCTGTGTTTGCATTGGCAATCTCGCAATTTCATTTCCTACCTCTCGTTTCTTTTCTGATTCGGTTGCCATTTGATTTTACTTTCGTTTTTTGCATCATCGTCAAAAACTTTCACGACACTCCTTACGTGGTACGACACTTGCTCATTTCATGCCTCATGTGTAAGCGATACCCAAGATTTCATGATCCACGCTCCTTATGAGACTTTTTTCACATGTACTTTTCTTTGCGCGCGACATTTTACACATAGAAATTGTTGGGAAGGATCTCACCGTTGTGGTTGGGGGAGATGTAGTAGTAGTGTGTCAGGCTGACTTGCCATGGCCCTATGTGCGAACTTCCGGTTACTGCGGCGGCGTTGATATGGACAAATAGATGAGCATGACATCCTTTACTATCCACTCCAAAACTGCCTCCTAATTTCCTGACCGAAGGTGTGTGACGTGTCAATGTACTCGGAGCTAAGAAATATTCACCTCATCTGAATCGGGCGCAACGCGTCAAGTTGGCGAGGTACTCTTGCTTTCAGGTGGCGACAAAAGTATGCCTCGTAGGCATTGTAGACGAGGCAATTGGTTCGCAAAGTGGTTCGCAAAAGGAAAAAAGGGGTCAGATGTAATGACGCAAAGCGCGAGCGAGAATATGGGAATTACTGCTGGAAATTATCCAGATTATGTTGAGCATGCGCTTGAATTTATACCTGTATTTTGCAACCTCGGCTTCTTCAGCCGCAGATGCAGACTGTCTCAATAAGCAATTCTTACATGACACAGGTGTTTACCGATTTGTGAGAATTTCCGACCATCAAAATCCTAAACATTGCCAGGCTGCCTGCAACTGCTCCTGCGCCGAGTCAAGGTGGTAACTGGATTTTCAGCTCGGCGTCTGAGGTCCATTTCATGATTGGCAGGCTGAGCGCCTAGACCCTCTGTGGCGCCCGGTCGCAGGGCATTCAGGAAACATGTCCGATGAGCACATGCTATGTCGTCAATTGAGGACCATTTTCATCTCCTTCACACCATCTTTTAAAATAGCATCACGAGAACCTGCAAGCATCATCACATCTCAATTGTTCAAAAGTACCAGAAAGCAGGCTGCGTCAATCAGGCTCATGATGAGTTTTAAACATGACTTGAGAATCAGGCTGTTTGTTATCTAGATGTGTCGAAATCTACATATTTCTGGGCCCCAGCTCTGCTGAAGCCCGGGGGACATGGAGTCTCTTTTACTTGCTCCGTACGTGACTATGCGGTGGCCGCGACTCCACCACCAATTCTCGACGTGATCATGACATCTGCCACGACAACTCTGGCAAAATGTTCACACACGCAAGCGAGCCACCGCAATGCCACCAACCCGGCTGAAACGACCGAGACCCAGCAAGCATCAACCACCTATACGTTCAAGCTCCCGTACACGGCGTACCGCGGCGCCTTTATCGGGGACCACTACCGACTGCAGCAGCTACGTCTGCAGACCGAGTTCCTCGACATTTTCTCCGTCGTGTGCCTGTGCGGTCGCGTTTTCGAGGCGCAGGCCTTTTCGCTCTCGTGCCCGGCGAGTCGCGGCAAGCTGCTCGAGTCGCGCCGCCGCCGCATGAAGCGCATCTACCGCTCTGACAACTTTGTCGACGTCTTTGAACAGGCCGGTCGCCGGTTTCTAGTGACAAAGGTCGATCGGACGGAAAAGGAGTGGTCCGACGTCTGCCGGCAGGTTATGCGCGGCGGTGATGACTTTGCCTTGGACCGGCCCGCCCGCCTACTCGGATGGGGCGGGGCTCGGTGCAGTGTCGAGGATGAGCGGACCGAATACGTTGATGGTAATGTGAGTGATTGACTTTTGTCATGGAACGTGCGGAAATTAATGGATCGATCGTATAGGTTTGCGCTCCCCACGAGAGCGAGCCAATCAGACACCACGTGTCCTACGTTGAACCGACCTCTTATGCTGGGGCCGTCATGAAGGGATTGAGGGTTGGAAAGTGATGATACCACGATTTTCATTTTCCTTTTTCCAAGTTCTTGACTCTCTTCATGCTGGCTTCCTATGGAATCATGATACATGTGGGATGATCTTTTCTATGGCTTCTTGGCTGGTGCATACTTCTCTGGCTTCCACTTGGTTTGGAGATTCTATACTGCGCTGCTTCCTGATTCGATGCCCCTATACTTGGCGCAACCTTATATCCGCGCCATCCTATCAATAACACGGACCGTCCATTTGTTCTAGTTCCATGCAAACACGACTGGCGCTAGGTGCATGATTGGGTCCCTGCGGTGTGAGAGACAGGGACAAGGCAAGAAGTATGCTTGTGAACAGCTAGCATTCCCACGTATATAATCGGGGAAGCTAGCAGCGGTGCAACGTGCCCAGCAGCACTCGATCTGTCTTTTGCAGCAAACATGGTTGAGCAGTCGACGCATTGTCTTCAGATTATAGACTCGAACGAGTGAATATGGAAATGTCAAGCGAATGAATACATAATCACAAGTCGGCACAACAGGAGAATGAATACGTTGAGTCTGAATGTCTGATGCAGCGCACTTCAATTGTCGCAGTTGCTGAACGTGATATAGGCGATGAAGCCAGAGATGTTAGAGGTGGGAATCACTGATATGTCAACTATGTAACCTTAGGTGGTCTCTTAACATTGCATGCACTAACGTGAGGATTGCATAGTGCTGGCTCACCACAGACATCTCCTAGCCTTATTCGCAGTTTCATAACATCATAGAGAATATTTTGGCAATATGCCCGTCATCGCCCTCCGATATTGAGTCAGGGAATATTTATTCAGTTATCATACTGGGATGGTGATGATAGTTCTGGGCAGTGTATGTATGTGTGTGTGTGTGTGTGTGTGTGTGTGTGTTTTCCTGGCGTACGTAGCTAGCGACGGGATGGGTGAACCGGGTGAGGGGTAACCATCGTCAGTTCATAGAACAGGTATATCAGATATCTTAATGTCATAATCAGGCATAGTCTGAGCTTTGGACCTGTGACCGTGTAAATGGGACATTTCGGGATGACAAGGATAACAAAAATAGTCCTGATATTTAGTCGGGGATAACGAACAGCAGATAAGCTCTTGTGAGAATGGTGATACTATTGTACGGCTCGAGGCTCTTCAAGCAAGATACCTGGACTAATCACCCCGGTTATTCACACCCCACCCACCCCATTCCTGCTATCCACCGAAGCAATTTCCATATTATCTCTTCTTTCACCACCAAATATCACCGGTGTCTTGGGTCTGCAAAACACAATGGACATATACCAAATAGCGAAGGGCTCGCACCGTCCCTCGAACTCCAGGCCAACCCTAATAAATCCAAACAAAAAACCAACTAATCTAACTGGCCCAAATAGACAATTCTAACACATCTGCATATTTTCCCCAATTTCTTTGTTTAAGAAATTGTGGGATTGAATGTATTTTAATGCTATATATCTTTTTGCGTGGCTTACATTTAGATGTAGTGTGGCGGGGCAGCGGCTGGTGATGTGCACAGACTTTTTTTGTATGGGGGTTCTGATGAATTGCCCAAGGGTCCGTAATCCCTGCAACTTGTCTGCAAGCACCCGACTTCCAAGGCGAGTTCTTACTATACAATAGAACGAATGCCGAAAATTCAGCAACAACTCTTACAAACGGCCGAAAATTCAGCAACAACTCTTACAAATGGCCGAAAAATAAAATAATAACTAATAAGATCCTCAATACCTAATTGAGTTTAATACTTAAAGACAGCTAGCCCTCTCCATGTGTTAAAAAGTTTTCTCACCAAGATCTCCAATGAACCCCCAAAATTGGCATGAGGCAGCGCGAAACTTTTGTAGTCGGTCTACTCACATGTTCCTGACACCTAGTATCTGTCATGGAATTTGCGCAAAATCCACAGTGTGATCTCCCTCTAGCACCGTTCTTATTACCAGAACAGGAGGTGGCAGATTTCTCCGGAGAGCCTTTGTGGCCAAATACCTCCGAAAACACGCAGCGCATCGATTGTGCACAGTACTTTGTTGAACCTAGAGATATACCACCACAATACCACGATTTATCAGCCGCATATCATATAAGCACAGAATGGCCCGTCGAGAACCAGCAATTTGACTATTGCATGCAGGGGATCCAGCATTTTGAACGAGAGACTCAGCATGGGTTCATAATGCCCTGCCCAGCTCCGATTACTCAATATTTTCCTTCCGAACATACCCCATCTACGTACCAACGCTCACTTTGGACTGACCAGTTCGGCTCATGCAGTGGTTCTGTACTTGGATCGGATCAAGAGCCACTGCTCCCACCTATGATATTGAATGATTCAACGTGCAGCTCTAGTATAGCTGAAAGCATGTCACCTCAAAAGTGAGCCCTTGTCACCCATGTATATCCTCTTTGCGATGTCTCTAACTATCATAGATCATCGACCCTACCAATCTCACCAACAGCGACGTTGTCTCATCTGATTTCGAAGACCAAATTGCAGTCTCCTATCAACGAACAACCAGAATACACTTGCCGAAAGTGTGACCAATCCAAGATTGACTTCAAATCACTCAAATCGCTGAAGCGTCACATGAATGAAGTCCATGGCAAGCCCTCCGAGGGACAGCTGCAACGAGGCTGGTTTACATGCGTGGTAAGCAAGTTTTGTCGTTATTCGATTTCACTACCAGGACAAAGGATGTATCTCACAATACAGTGACTCAGTATCACGAGATGAAGATGACCAGAAGAGAAATGCATGATCGCCCTCGCAACATAATTTGCTGACCTACAACCTTGCAGTGCGGATATCAAGCGCCATACGTCCGTAGATCCAACTACACTCGTCATCTTCAAATATGTAAATCAACGAAATGGGTTCATGATGGATACTTTTGCCAGTGTCTTGTCAAGCATACTACAAAAGATTTGCATGAAAAGCACTACCAAATGTGCAGGGAAGGCGGGGGACCTGTTGGGCGTCCGCGGCGTGTGGCGTAGCCAAGTATATCTGCTGTATCGGGTAACCATGGATATTCTCACAATCGTATATGGACCAAGAGCTATTATTCACGAAATCGTTTTTGGTATTCATCTTTTGCTTTCTTCTTCATCGCTCTTCTTTTCTCTTTCACTTTTCCATTTCCCTGTGCTTTCTTTTTCACTTTCTCTTTCGAGGGGCGATCAGATAGTTGTATTTGGCATTTCGCTCATAAATTCTACGATCAAAATGTGTTCTCCGTACATTGACTAGCGCGCTACGTTTACTTGGGGCGGAAGACATTAGAGCTCTGGGTTGGGAAGAGTTGGGAACATTGAGATGAGCATAGCTAGGTATTGAAACGTAGCAGATGCGCATTCAGGTCATAATCGCAATGAACAGTGTTGAAAAAGGGGCAATAAATATAGTGCGTTGAACCGGAAGTAAATGATTGGAAAAGTAGAATTTGAGCGAGGAAACGAGTATTAATGATGCTAGCAGGATGAGGTACATGATATCGAAATGCCTGCTATCCGATTCTAAGTCAACCGATTGCATTGTCAATGGCGCGTATCGATGTGCATGGCTTGGTAATTGAGCACTGTTCAATCAAACGTGACGCGAAGATGTGCCACTCGCGTTCAGCTGATGATCTACATGCACCGGTGGTAGATAATGGATTTCCGCAATGATGAGCCACAGAAAATAAGGGTGGTTCTGCAACGGTCTGCAGGCAAATGGGATAGAATGTGTAAGAAGCAAGGACATGGGAATGGGCGGCGAGCGATTTATACGCTAAAGCGATTTTGGTCCCCATTGTGATTCTATGCTATTAGTCATCACGCTCTGCAAAGGCCGCAATGTCGCGTACGAATGACCTTCAGGGAATTGTATTCCGATCCATATTTCTTGCTGATTTGAGTGACGTTCTTCCCACTTTGATTGACGGGTTGTGAAAGACGATCTCCTCGCTGCTGGATGTCCGGGGAATGAGGGACATTGAATTGACCACACCTAAGGCGTGGCCAGGGACGCAAAAGCCTGTGCATGTAGCTGGGGTTTAGACTTTTTGAGTAATATCATATCGATTCATCAATGGTATACTTTTCTGATGAGATGTTGGACTGAGGGCAGAATATTTTACCAAGATTGAACCGATCCTCTCTTCTACAAGACTGACTCTCTGCGAATGCACAATTGATCGAATAGACGAGTGTTCTTTCACTCTTCATGTAAAGCCCTGATTAGGTCGAAATAACCTCAGACTTTGGTACGGGGCATGGTCTCTTGGCATGCTCCAGGCCAGGATCATGACGATCAAGCACTGTCGCAACGCACCGATTGGCGCCTTGACCCCTGAAACCGAATGTTGTGGGGTCTGGCGACACCCCTAAGCGTCGCAGCTTTCAATGTGGTAGTAGTAACTTCCTTGCTGGGCAGGGGCTTGATTGAGGCTCCGTGAAATCTCACAAAATCCTCCCCCATGAGACTTTCGGTTGGACGATTGCGGAGCCATGTCATAGTAGAGACCGTCAGCCGGTTGTCGCCCAATTCAAGCTTAATCCTTAGCCCCCAGAGCAGAACCCAGTGCCCCTGTCAGGAATACTAGCGTCGAGATGCATTCGAACATCTGACAGACCAACAACCCAGTTGCACCTCAAACGCGCGCATGTCCGACATGAGACGACAGTCCCCATCATTTCTCGTAATGAGCTCAGCTTTTCGGCACATTGGCCGAAGATCTGGTAGCCAGTTGCATGGACAAGCGGCTCTGCTTAAAAGGATCGTCCGGTACCATATCGAAGCATGAAGCATGATCGACTGTCTCTTCTTTCACCACCAAATACCACCAGTTTCTTTGGGTTATTGATCTTTGTTCCCTCTGGCTAGGGTTTACTTTCGTTTCGACTTGACGTCTTTCTTCTCTTATTCAGCTGTTTGAGCTTTTGTGGACAATATAATCCATTCCAGTCATTCAATAACCACCAATCCTCCCAGCCAACATGTCCAAGTTCAATACTCTTGCCTTTTCCACGGCCATCTTTGCCAGCCTGGCATTGGCCGCACCTACTATACCCTTTGTCACACCGAATGCGGTGGTCCCTCTGACCAAGGCTCCCGCCGATGCTCCCATCCTGTCAGAGCGTCAATCCGCCTGCTTCGTCATTGGCTCCACGACGCTGCCCGCCGAAGTCGCCGACGTGGTTACCAGCATCGAGTCGGCCGTGACTTGCGATACCTCCAAGACGACCATCTCGGGTGTCCCCGATGTTACGAGCGGCGATGCCACCTTTTCGGATATAGACTTTAGCCAGTCGTCTCAGACGCCGCTCGAATTTGCCCTGTCCAAGTTTGCCACCAGCACCCCGTTGGCCGATACCGATTTGCAGACTTTCCAGGATCAACTCAACACGTATCTGGCTACAGAGGCGGGTATTCGAAGTGTTGGCGGTAGTCTCGCAATCAAGGTGCCCAAGTTCTTTCTGCAGTACCAGGTCAGCCGTATCCAGACAGCCCAGGGCAACCCTCCTGCTGCTGCTGGATCGCAGGTTGACCACCTTCGCGACAAGGTCCTGAAGAATGCGGCTGGCGAGGACCAATCACTCTTGGACCAGGTCACTGCTCTGGCTACGCAACTGTCTTAGGTGTGAGAATCGCTTAGGCTTGCGTGGCATCAGACATGACAGTTACTATACTCAACGACGGGGCACGAGCGGCAAGTAGAATAATAATTATACTCTATTAAGAAGTCAAATTATGGATATCGCTCTAGTGACTTGCGTCAAAGCATGAGATCTAATGCAGTTATGTGTGGGTTGCCCAGGTCATTCAATTCGTCAATGGCCAGTTTGGATTTTCTCGTTGGACTCGCACCTCATTCTCGACCCATGTGACCCTATTGCCATCTTCTTCAATGGGACTCAGCTCATTGGCGCTGTTCCTACTCGAGGCTTTGGTGTATGTACTTGCAGGCTTGGACAGACCTGAATCACTACGGGAGTGTAATGGCGATGACGGGATTCTCGGTGTTCCAGGCGAACGGGGGACCTTGTGTTCGTACATGACAAATCTAGGAAGTTCGCTCGTCTGGCTCTGACCATGGCGTCCATATGCGCTTGCCATGCCGCGGGCTTTGAGATATAAAGGTCGCAGTGTCGGAATGCCAATACATATCATGGATACGGCAATCTCGGCTCCAGCCCACGCGAAATATGGTACAAAGTTGATAGTATAATCCATGACGTTTAATCGGGCGAGAACTATTGTTCGGACAATACCGCATGCTCCAGCACTATACCTGTGTCAGTATGATCACTTCTGAAATAATGGAGATCAACTTACATGACACCCAAACTCATCCCACTAGCCAACATGATTTTTTCTTTTTGTGGCATCTGGAGCGACCAGAGAAACAGCCAAGGAAAGATGGCAAAGAAAAAGTCGCAGATACTCGACCAGACTGAAATGAGTGAGTTATAGATCAAAACCCAAAGCGAGTGGTCATTACGCACCTCCAAGACCGACACTCATTGGCTGGATTTGAATATTCCACTTGCCCGGAGTCCTCAATGGATCCCAGCTTGCCCTGACAGGATCCGTTTGATTCCAGAGCATGACGGCCAGTGCCAGGCTCGTGGCGGTAATGAGAAAGACGACGACCCATAGCATAATCTTTTGCCATCGAACCTGGACCACGCGCAACAAGAATAGACCCATGGAAAGTTTTGCCATGGCGTTTCCAGTAATGGCAAAAGTGTTGGCGACATAGGTCCAGAAAATGGCATTGGATGACTCGGCGAGACTTAGTACCCAAAAGCTCTGGCCGAGACCATTACGAACAGCCACTTGGATGAATATTGCAAAGCACAATATGAGAAGCTATCAGGGATCGTCAGCCATGTCTCTGTACGTTGTGTGAATGGCCCTCTGCTTACACCAGTCGTGGCAAACAGGTAATCCTCCACTCCTATAAACTTGACAATCCGTATCCTGGTATACAGTCTCAAAGCGACCAAGAAGAGCGACAGGGCCGTGAGCGCCCACATGGCACCGGCCAGCTGGTGGCCCGAATTCATGTTGGATGATGAACTGACGAAGAAACAAACATTTGAATCGAAGAATTTTCAAGACAAATGGGTCAGAATAGGAATGGGTTCGGTCAACACGGGACAGGTGCGGGCACGGATGTGATTAAAAAGCTTATGCTGCCTCGCGGGATCAAGGTGTGCTACACAAGAGTCATTTGGGGGCGTGTATGGGCTTGGCGTTGCCCGACACTCGGGGAGAAGGGACCGAAAATAGAACAAACTATTGACGATCCATCACACCGCGGGCCGCTTTGCGACTGGTTCGCTACACCTCTGTATGCCTCGCTGATGGCTCTTTTATCGACTCTTGTGCAGTTTGCATATAATACCGTCGTCATCCCCCCCTCCAGCGACAGGTGCGCGGGCGTGTGGGCGCGAGGTGCTGGCCGTCTACGGCAGTCTGCCAAGGTAACATTGCTTCTATAGAATTGTGGAGAGAACGAGACTTGCATTATTGCCGACTTTGTTTTCTCGAAGAATCTTTCTCAGATTGGCTACCGGTCGGGAAATGGCACCCTGGTTCATCACCGTGACTGGATTGGTGCGCAATTCGGCAACGGTGTCCAATGAGAATCGCGGAATCTTGTAAACGAGGGTGCCGCCAGCCTCCAAGGTGAATGATGGCATGCTATAGGACAATATTCCCTGGATGGAGGGTCAACGTAAGCGCCAACCCACGCTATCGGAATACTGCCTACGCTCTCTGCAGTTGTCGTGTTGTAAATGTCGCGTGGTAATGCGCTCATACTCACTGAAAACCTTGAGAGTTGGCGCCCACGGCTGCACGTGACGTACATTTGCCTTGGCATGTTGAGAGTCAGATACGAGCCATTGATCATTATCGGTCAGTTTGATCCTGTTTGTTTACATAATATTACATCTGCCGAGGAAAGCGAAGGAATTCAAGTGGACCACAAGCCGGGGGACATTTCTGAGAGAAGAAAGAATTCGAGATGGTCTTTTCCAAAGCGTTAATCTCACAGAACTTCGGTTCGAAGAGGCATGATTGGCCATTTACCATTTGGCCGTTCCACCTTGTTCTATTGCCCAGAGGAGATGAGGTGTCGTTTAATTGATCTTGCATCACCTGACGGATGTGTGGATTGACCCGACCGAGCAGTCGGCCTTGCGCCGGGATACCAAAGGTTTGACTCGTCTGTTTGCTGCCGTGCCCGTCCCTAACATGTCTTTGGTAGGATGATGCGGATTACGAGGTAATTATACTAGAGTTGGAATAGATGATTCAAGCGACACGGGGTAGGTCAATGCCTTTGTCCGTGCGACTCATGGTGCTTCTCCAGGGCGCGCCGTTGAGTTTCTAGTTCCGATCACTGAAGCAATGATTGAATTTGTGACCTGATGAGGCTGCTAAAAACTCGGATTGAGACTGACAAGTCAATTGTTCTTAATAGGAGCTCCTCTGCAATTTATTTTGTACATGTTATACTCATGCGTCTGCTAGATATTATTCATATCACCCATACTGGAAAGGTCCAGGATTGTAGGCCTTGGCTCACCTGCACCAAGTCTCAATGCTATAGTACAAGACATGGTGAAATCAAAGTATCTGGTAACAGAAACTACCTCGGGAGATGATTGTGGGCTCTGCGGAGTGGAACTGACGAGACTCTAGATTGCGAGTAAGGGAAAACAGCATAGGGATGTAGTGACATTATCTCCTTGAAGGAGTCGATCCCATATCGTTCAATAACAGCATATTGTCGTCCATTCACAGTCATAGGACATTCCAGCCGATTAATTGAATTACTCACAGAAGTTGTGAATCAGCATCCATGGTTCGCAAAATATAAATTTTCAAGAAACTGTAGTGATCTCGACACTTGCACACTCTCGACGGCGCATCAATGGCTTTGGGAGGAATAGCTAACCACCAACATAACAGAAGCAAGAGTCCTAAAATGTCACGATATCCGGTAAGTTTGTTTGCACGTCTTCCTCCCCTGTTCAATTTATCACTGATATCAAACAGCCCAATCGGTATGCAGTTCAGGAGCATCGCCTTTCCTGTCCATTCAGTAGACTGCCAAGTCATGTGCAAATAAATGTCTGCAGCCACGTTGAAGGAGAAGAGTACCAGGAATTCGCAGAAAGACGGTGCTTCTGCTGCCTCCCAGACATTATACAGAGTCAAGCTATAGACAGATACTTGACTTTTGAACACTTTGGTCAATATGAATACATTCACAACGCGGGCATGGTCGCCAGAGCTGCCTACGCATACCTAAAGCTAGTCAATCGCATCCCAACATCCCCGGACCGACGGGCACTTGTCGATGCGTATCGCAAAGATATGCAATGCCCGGGTTCTACTGCCTGCAGCGAGAATGAGCAGTGCCTGGACAAACACCACAGCCACCTCGGAGCGAAGCTCAAAGTCAGAGACATTAGACCCCTCATGGAACAATTTGCAAAGATACAAGCAATGTACAGGGCAATCTCTGACACTGAGATTGATTGTATGACGGATTGGGCCCAGTATCACCAAGATGACAGCCGTTACGGGGATTTATCTCTCAATCACCCTACAACAGAGAAACTGTCATGTCTCTATTACGTACACGCATTCTGGGCCCTTTTCCGGCGGCCTGTGGGAGCTTATGGTACGTCCAACCGAAACGATCTCGAAGAGGAGTTTCTCTCTATTTTCCATCCCGGACGCAGGGAAGCCATTTGCAAAATTGGCACTGCAGCAGAGTATTGTTAGCGTAGGGTAAATGCCATTTATCCACGATCTATGTTGATCATTATCATGGTGAATAGACGAAGAAGACGTCCTGTCTCGGACAAGGCCCTGAACGGAGAGACATCACGGCTCTCGGTAACCCAACAATCGCTCAGTCGGTACATCATAGGCAAGACATTAGAAGACAGAGGTGTTACGTATAGCGTTTTACTATGAGGATCGTTCCTTTCTCTATCATTAAACAAACTACTAAACGTTTCGTGTTATGCGTTTGCTTTCTTTGCACCTGACATGTATCGAACAATGCTTCTCGTGATACTCTTGAGCGAAGCAACAACAGCATGTACGGGAAATGCCCTCAAAAGCTTCGTAATGGCCCCTCTAATTCCATTCCCTGCGTCGCCCAATAGCCTGAACAGTAATGGCAATGCTCTCAGAAGCCAGGCTTTGGCTGCTACCAAGATGTCCACGGCAGTTATAGACTCGGGGACATTCTCCATCCACCAGAATGGGCGATCCGACTGACTGATCCAACCCCGTCTCCAAAGGCCAGCCTCGAGGAGAAGCCTTGTTTCTGGTAGAGCGACGAGCCAGAATACCACGAGGACAGAAAGCGTCAATAAACGCGGGTTCCGCAGCGCCATGATCAATATCGCGAAATGAATTGTCCACGAGGTTGCCGCGGCTATTCTCAGATCATGCCTGCCGCTTTCATTGAGCCCGTCGCGTAGGATTGGAAGCGCCACGAGGCCGAGAACAAGTAGATCCAGAGTCAGCACCCATCGCGCTGTTTTCAAGACGAGTCTCCCAGGCCGGGCAACGTAATTGACAATGATGAGGTTAAACGACAGGGATGGTACAAGCACAAGAGTAAGAAATAGGAGCCACATGACATTTGCATGAATGCAGTAATTTTGAGCTGTGCTAATCAAGTTGGGGCTCATCCAAGAGCTGGGCAAACGAAAGCAAATAGTCCTGCAGTCTACATGATCCCCGAGAATGGTGAATTCATTGTCTTCGAAGCCGTGACCGCGATTGCTTTCTAGAAACTTCATGGTACAAAAGAAGCCTTTGATGCTACAGGTCTCAAAGGCACAAAGGATACGCATGCAGAAACCATCATGATCCGAGTCAAGTTCGATACATGGACTATTGGGCAATGGAAAACGAACCAGGACGCAATTGTAAACTTGCAAAGATCAAGTGTTGATACTGGAATCTTGGGAAACAAATCAGTGGCCAATTTAGCGTGATTTTTAGTGAATATCCACTGACGCTACGCCGTGGCAATGCCCCGCTGACGTCCTGATTGGGCGCGGGAGATTCTCGGTAGCGACGCGAAAAAAATTATAGCACCGGACCTTTCAGTGCTGCCAAAGCTTCAACGCGACTCGAACTTTGTAGTGTTCCACCTTGACATCACCACACTCACAACTTTGTCGCAGCGTCGCAACAACTGTTCCCACCAATTGCCAGAGAACAGCAGCAATTCGCGACAATGGGCTCACGATGGCCACCTCCCCGCGACGACGGATACAGACAAGGCAACAGATCTGAAGCCTATCGCTCGTCGTATTCGTCCACACCTCAATTCCCGCCCTACCAAGGTGGCGGCGATTCTCGAAATGGCGGCGGTGACCGCTACAATTTCCGATCCGATCGACGCCACCCCGATTCCTACAGAGATGATGCTCGCAATTCTGCTCGAGGCTCTGATCGCGATTTCCGCCCGCCTCAGGGCGACTTTACCTTTCGAACCGATCGTCCGTCGGGAGTGCAAGAGAGCTACGAGTCGTTTCGGGGTTCTTCCCAGCGAAATGGCAACGATAGTTATCGCCCCGGACCATCGAGAAGAAACCATGGTAACGGCCCAGGTGGTTATAACCGTGGCGGTCCCCGTGGTTCTAGTATGCGAAACGGACGAGGCGGTTTCATCCCCCGTAGGAGAGAGCGAGCTGCCGATCGTCTCTTTCTGCACAAGAAGCACGACGACGATGCAGAGGATCTGCTAGGTGATACCTCTCTACGTGCCACCTATCTTAACCCCGATGATCTCAGTGAAAGCGATGACGCTGCTATGGACATTTCCGGAGAATCAGAGGTCGAGGATGAGAATGAACCTGCTGCCAAGCGTGTTCGCCTGGACAATGACGACTCGGTCCCAAAGTGGTCGAACCCAGACCCCTACACAGCTCTCCCCCCGCCGGATGAGACTCAGCGCAAAAAGAAGGACGTGGTACAAATGATCCGAAAGGCCCGCGTAGAGGCCGAGGAAAAGAAACAGTCCGGCGACACTGAGGCTGCCGAGTTCATCTCATTTGATTTCAGTGATGAGGAGGATGATGTTGCGAGTGTCAAGGAGAGCGAACAGGATATCCGCGTGCTCAATGCACCGACTGGCCCTCGCTCCAGCCTGCCAATGACTCTTCCATCAGGTCTCCCACCCCGCCCGCCCGAGAATCTTGTCCCGCCTACCCAGCCTGCAGCGGCCAAGAGTACCCCGGCCAGGCCCGCCCCGATTGTTGATTTATCAGCTTCTACTAATCTAGGCAGCCGAAAGCGTACCGTCGATGACAAGATCAAGGAACGGCCCCACCAGCCGCTACAAAAGGGCAAAAAGATGAAGGCTGATGCTACCGTCGAGTCTGTATGGAAGCCCACGAAAGACGAGGACGCCTGTCCCTGGGCTGTGATTGACCACTCTTCAGAGCCCAACATGGGTGTTCGGTAAGTCTTGTTCAAAATGTGCCAGTCTCTTTACTGACAGGAATAGATTGCACAAGGAACTCGTAGACTTTTTCGAGTATGTCCGTCCTCGCGATTTCGAAGAGGCGGTGCGCCAGGACCTGGTCCATAATCTCTCCAAGCATGCCAAGCGCTGGCAAAGAAGTGCCAATGTCAAGCCATTCGGCTCCTTCATGTCTGGACTTTACCTCCCGACAGCAGACATGGACCTGGTCATTTGCTCTGATAATTACATGAATGGAGGTGCCCCAGTTCTGAGCGCCAAGTCGGCCCTCTTCAAGCTCAGGGCCTATCTCACTAAGAATGACTTGGCCCATGGCAATGATGTGGAAGTCATTAGTGGCGCAAAAGTACCACTTGTCAAATACATTGACGAAGCTACCGGTCTCCGTGTAGACATTTCTTTTGAGAATCTGACAGGTATCCAGGCCATTGACACATTTATGGAGTGGAAGAGGCAATATCCCGCCATGCCTATTCTGGTGGCCATTATCAAGCACTTTTTGTGCATGCGCGGTCTCAATGAGCCTGTAAATGGCGGCATTGGTGGCTTTTCTGTTATTTGCATGGTGGTCAACCTACTTAATCACTGGCCAGAGGTGCAGAGCGGAACATTGATTCCCGAGCATCATTTGGGAGAAGCCTTGATGCGCTTCTTTCGTTTATATGGCAAGGAGTTTGACTATGAGTCTACAGCAATCAGCATGAATCCTCCTCGATTCGTTCCAAAGGTAAGTCGTGTCATTCTTGACCACGGACTTTTGCTAACATTGATCTAGCATTCCGTCAGCAAGCTCGTTTACCGAAACATGGATCGACTTTCAATTATCGATCCCAACAACTCGGCCAATGATATCTCCGGTGGTTCCTCCAACTTTCCCCTGATTAGTCGATGCTTTAGAACGGCATATGACGAGCTACAGAAACGCATGTACGCCTTGGCCAAGGGCAGCGAGGCTGTACACGGCCACGACACAATCTTGGCCCCCATTCTTGGCGGTAACTACAAGACGTTCCGAGTACAGCGTGCATACCTCAAGAGTATCTATGATAGCAAGCACTTGGGTGCCCAAGCGGGCCAAAGACGTGCCCCGTAAAGCGGGATATACGTGAACCTCTACCACTTTGGGTGGCATTTCTCATTTCCCCTATCGAGGATCCTCTGTACGGCTTGTACAATTTTCGAACATGTTATATATAATGACCGTGGGCATGTGGTCAATCATGGATGAACAGAAGGGATTGGCGTTTCCAGGCGGATCCGGCGTTGACCTCTTACGAAGCATTTGCAGATACCTTTTGCCTTTTTTCCCGACAGTTCGATCGGCATCATGTACTATATCGACAAAGGGCGATCTGGATTTTAAGGCCTGAAATCCAGTTTCGGAACCTATTCTACAACTTCCCTTGCTTGACCGGCTCTATTTCTTCAATGGTATACAGCCAAGTGGCAGGGGAGCAAATTGAAAGCAGCATTGAAATGATAGTTTTCCTGCGACCTTGCAGTTGTAGCTGGCTCTAGTTGAGCTTGGCCAGTGATTTGATGGGCCTGCCTACTAATCTAGGCAACATTCGAGGAGAGCAGCTATGCCTTTCTGCTAACATTTGATTCTAGTTGTTTGGTTGTTGAATCATTCAAACGTCACAAGACAAAGAACAAACTTGCTTGCAAGGCGTTCACTCACGGTTTCCCAACGTTGCGCCGCTGAACTCGTGTAGTTCTTTGGCGCTTGCCGGGATACCACATTTTCTCACTGCAGTCTCGACTTGATGTCGGGATGTGGAGAGGAAAGCCATTTCCAATGTTTGACAGGCAGCAGATCAGTCACTCATTGAGCCTCGGACTTGCCTGGCTCGGTGGAATTAAGCTCGTCTAGTAGGTGGTACCCTCATCAGACCATGACACCTTGTAACGTTGGACTGGTTGATCGGGGGAGCACGACAGCTTCAGCTTGAGCTTGACTCTTGTTTGTGCAACACAAGGCACCACAAACATGGGGTTGCTGCATCTACCTGTATTCAGAAACTGATGAGATTGGGCGACTCCAAAAACATGTTCGCCAGCAGTAGAGGTCATGGTCCGTGGCCAACTAAGCTTGCATTTCAAATAGTCAACTGACCCAATCCGATCCCTGTTGGTGGTGATCCTTGATCTAACTGCTTGAATCAAAAGGATCGACTATAGTACTCTTGAGAGGTGCAACGGGGCTGACTTTGAACCCTGCCTGCATACTCGCCCAGGAAAAAGGGCCGTTGAATCGGTGTTACTCTGGCCTTGCTCGACATATCCCTGAAGCTGCCAGTCCACAGATGGCACGTCTCATTTGTTGTGCGAGTGAGCCTTGCTTACAAGCATTTTGGAGGAATACAAGAATTATTTCCCAGAGACAGTAATCGGCGGCGGCCATACGGAACAAGCATTTGTGCAGCAGCCCGCTTATAGTTATTCTCTCAGGATTGCAGCGTTTTCCGCCACCCTCAAAGTCCAAGTCCAAGTCCAAGTACAGCTCGAGGTTTGCGCTGCTGATGAATAGGTGCCTGGCCAGAGTACAGAGACACGGACGTGCTCCCTCCATATATTAACCTTCATGTACCCGTTTCCCGCCAAGGGCGTATGCCGGCAAGGACCGGGGGTTCGTTTTGGTGGAATGCGGGGAAGCTCAGGGGTCTTTTTGTCTTTATGCTGCTTCTGTGCCCTTACCTTTACCTTACTTGACCTCGCAAGCTGGGCGTGCTGTCAAAAGATACCCTTGCCATTGGCGCAATAGTTATTGACGGTATGCCATTACTTGCGACTCAATGACATGATCGCGCCTTGATCCTCGGGGCGTCAGTTGAAGCTTGACGACTACTCACCTGTCACGGCGTCTTGCTCGGACAATGTCAGTATGGAAAGCCGCATGCAGTCCTCTGAGACCACAACAGAACCCGCAGCCCTGTTTGCCTTGCTTTTCGTAAGCGTGCACCTCAAAAATCAATAAATGGCGGAACCGTGGCCGCGTCGCTCTGTCGAGAGGATGAGTAAGGAGAAAGCTGAGCCTTGGCAAAAAGAATCTTGTCAACGTTCGGTGCCGGGCTCGAAATGCGATGCCCTTGACTGGCTAGACCTGCTCCGGGAAGCAATCCTTTGAAGCAGTCAGCACGGGACGTTGTCGGCCAGATTTGCTTTCTTGCTCGACATGTTGCGCAACTGGCATCAAAATTCCGAGCCAGTTTCTGTAAGAGCATTACTAGAGTTTCGCCGAGTCCATGGTCTCCTTCTCCAACTCCAACAGGGTCTCTCCACATTGGGCGATATCTTGGAGGGTCAATGGTCGCATGACGATCCAAGTTCAACACCCTTTTGCCTAGCCGGGAACCAATAAGAACCATTCATCATATGGCAGGATGGCCAACAATCAAATACCAGTCTTGCTACTGGATATGAATGCAGATTGCTATGCATACGACTTTGCTTCCATCTCAAAAGTACTGAGCTTTCGTCAACTCATAACTATACGTGGCAACTGAATACCGTTTGGGCCACCATATTGTAACTGATCGTAAAGCTCTCTTTATTCCTGAATGGCCTCTCGGGATGGCAAGTCGACGGCCGGGTCGCCAAGTTTGTAAGATGGCGACTTGGTGTATCGACTCTTCTCATACACGTAGCCGTCAATCACCCGTAAAACTTTGGCCAGAATGTTCATCTGCTCTTGTACACGTACGCCTACAGTCAAAAGTCTCTTGGCCAGCTTTGGACAATGACGAAATAGGATTTGCTGGTCTTGCTGGGCGCATCTCCAACCCATTGGAGCCGGGCTTGGCAGTTCATCTCCGCATCAGAATGCTGAGCTCGTATAGGCTGGAAGAGTCGCAGATCGGTCTGGGGCAAAGCTATGAATCCTTGATCGTCTGATCATAATGGAATTGCTTTCTTGGGATTCAGCCCCTGTTTGTATCCCCTCACACAAGTACAGAGCTATTCCGCCGTACCACCCGTCCACGTTACAGCCTAATACCCCCGACTATGTATGTATACGTCCTCCCAGTTTCCTGGCCCTCTTTTCTTTCTTTCTTTTCTTTTATGCGCGCTATCGCGGCATAATAATACTCTTTCCAAGACCAGCCGACCTCTTTTCAGTCTCGTCTTTCCATCACCACATTGCGATCCGGTGGACTGGCTTCGAAATGTATACAGCTAGCAATGTATACTTTATCTGTGGCTTTGCCGCGCTAGGTTTGTGCAATATTCCTCCATGTGTAAAAAGTGTTTCAGCTTATCGCTTCGAAAGGTGGTGGGCTATTTGGTTTTGATATTAGCTCCATGAGTGGTGTACTTGGGACTCAAGCCTATATCCGATATTTTGATAATCCAGTCTCGTACCGACAGGGTGGCATCACCGCGTCAATGCCCGCTGGTTCGTTGGTCGGTAGGAATACTCCAATACATCTTCAATCACCCGGATCCATCTAATCTTCTTTAGGGTCATTGCTCAGCTCGTTCATTGCCGATAAGTACTCGCGAAAGGTGGCTCTTCAGGTCTCTTGTGTCCTCTGGATCATTGGTGCCATGTGAGAATATCACTCTGAGAATAATCCATTTTCAAAGCTGACACTGCCTAGTATCCAATGCGCAGCTCAGAATGTCGGAATGCTTTGCGCTGGAAGAGTCATAGCCGGGCTCTGTGTCGGCATTGCCTCGTCGATTGTCCCCGTCTATCAATCCGAAATTGCGCCCAAGGAGATTCGCGGTCGCATCGTCTCCCTCCAGCAGTGGGCCATTACCTGGGGAATCCTCATTCAGTACTTTATTCAATATGGCGCTGCACAGGTTGGAGGTGGTCCAAACGACCCCAACCAGCCCGAATCCGCCTTTCGTATTCCTTGGGGCATTCAAATGATTCCAGCATTTATTTTGCTCATTGGTCTCTTCTTTTTCCCGTATAGCCCACGTTGGCTGGCATCTCAGGATCGCTGGGAAGAGGCCATCAAGGTCCTTGCAAGTCTGCACGGCGGTGGCGATGTCAACCACCCCAAGGTACTGGCTGAATATCAGGAGATTGAGGATGCCCTTCGCTTTGAGCGTGAGGAAGCTCTTTCGAGTTTCAAGGCTCTTACACAGCCTCGAATATTTAAGCGAGTCTTGCTGGGCATGTCGATTCAAATGTGGTCGCAGCTTTGTGGTATGCAACGCACTCGCTTGACGACTGGCATAGTTAACACATGCATAGGAATGAACATTATGATGTACTACATTGTCTACATCATGAAGGGCGCCGACATTGGTGACGAGCTCTTGACGTCTGCTATCCAGTACATCATCAATGTCGTCATGACCTTGCCGGCGATTCTCTACCTTGACAAGATTGGTAGACGACCGGCTCTCATCTTTGGCGCCTTTTTCATGATGATCTGGCTCTTCATCTCAGGTATGCCTCACTACATTTTGAGAGCTCCACAGCTGACATCAATAGGCTCTTTGCAAGCAGTGTATGGAAAACCAAATGACTTTACCGACCCCAACCTAAATCAAATCACCTGGGTCGTCCAGGGCAACCGGTCTGCATCCTCTGCCATTGTAGCTTGCTCCTATCTCTTTGTTGCAACATTTGCTACAACCTGGGGGCCTACATCTTGGACCTATCCTGCCGAAATTTTCCCCAGCAAGGTTCGAGCAAAGGCAGTGTCGCTGTCTACCGCCGCAAATTGGTTCTGGAACATGATTTTGGCTTTCGGCGTTCCACCCCTCTTGTGGAATATCAACTGGAAAATGTACATGATCTTTGCCACCTTTAATGGGCTGTCCTTTATCCACATGACGCTGCTCGCTCCGGAAACGCGCGGCTTTACGCTCGAAGAGATGGATGACGTTTTCGATTCTGGTCGTCCAGCGTGGAAGAGTTACAAAAAGGAGAGTCGTCTCGACAAATTGCAAAAGGAGATTGAGGACGGCAAGCTCAAGATTGATGCTCCATTTGGACACAAGCAGACTCCTACAACTGTTGAGAATGTCGCTGCGACTGAAGAAAAGACGGTCTAGATCAGCCTCCTGATCAGGATTGGGTTGGGCTGCTGCAAGGTGAATTCAGCAGCTGAGGGAAGGGAAGATGGACTTTTCAATAATGGCTTCAAACTGCAAATGATACCACGGTCTTTGATTTTACATTTTTCATCGTTTCTGTAGTGTTTTCTTCTCTCTTCTATGTAATTGAATTATCAACTGTTGCCTACTGAAACACAACTGTCTTCCCTTTCTCAGTGCCATGTAGACCATGATCCGCGTTGCGCTGATTGTAGAGTGGATACACTCCTCCATCTCGCTTTTCCCTGATACTTTGACCTCTTTCATGTGGTAACCATACCTTGATGGGTACCGCCCGGAGAAAGGTAAGGTTAACCATATTGTTAGAGGGGCAGACCATATGCAAGGTACAATGTAGCAACTGTCGTTGATAGGCTAGACCTGAATCTAGGCAACTTAAAGGGAGATACAGTCATACTGACAGGCAAGAACCCTTCAAGCCCACACCTTATTTGATAGAAACCCTACCAGGGACCTGAGTTTTAAACAATTGGCAGGCTGGAAATTTTGATTTAAACTCTGCCCTGACAGAACCCTTGCGGTATGGCTATTTCAATGCTTTCTCCGTCATGTCAGGAACCTCGTGGGATCGCCGCCTGCTTGAAAGCTTTCTCCGTCAATCCCTTCGAGAATGTGTATTTAAGAAGGTCCCCTTGATTCATTTCGTTCATTCCATTTATTCCATCCTTTGCAGCCAAACTTTCTACACACACACAATTTCTATTCATTCTACTGACAGAAATTTTGACATTGGTCTTTCGCTTCTATAATCTTCAACCATAATCTCTTGGCAATACTATTATTGTTCAAGTGTACATCTAGCAGTACGGTATTCCTTGATCAAGAAACTACAAGAGGGACTCTTCTAATCAACTCATCCTAGCACATAACAATGCCCCCTCGCGTGGATACAGATCAACCCGACAGCCCACCGATCTGGCTGGGCTGCTTCGATGTCATAGACGTCAATGCCAATGAGCCAGACAATCGGGGTCGGATCCCGCTGCACCATGTAGCGTCGTCGGCATGGATAGAGTCTTACTCGCCCATGATTCCCACCCGCAGCGATGGTCTACGGAAATGCGCTGGAGAGTTAATCTCCAGAACGACCTACATTGACCATCGTGATCACAATGGTGTTACCCCTTTACACCTCGCGGCCATGATGTCCGAGTGGCTCGTCAAGGAACTTGTCCATGCCGGAGCGGATCCTCGCAACCCAACAAACGACGGCCTCACTCCTCTACATTTGGCCGTGCGCGCACGAGAGGTCAAGATTGTGGCCTTGCTTGTTAACATGCTCAAGGAAAAGTATCCTGGAAAATTCCTTCGATATTTGGATGCAAGAGACGGCTGTGGCCGTACCCCTCTGATGCACGCGTGCATTTCAGGTCGGCCGGAGTCTGTTTCCTTGCTGTTGGACGCAGGCGCCAGCGTCTACTCTATTTATCATGTCGACATGTGCGTGTTTTGGTCATGCACAGAATTCGAGTATGAGCAAAGCTACTGGCTCAACTGGTGGAAGCCCAGTGTGCATGATCTCAAGCTCATTGCTGCTTACAACTTGGCACCCGATGGATGGGATTGGGTTGCCGAGGGTGGTGTTCGATTGATGGACAGGAACCGTCCCTGGGTCTCTATTGGCAACAAATTGTTGCCGGAATTTGAAAGAATCAGAAGAAGCTCTTTTGTCGATCCGTGTCCTCAGATTGGGGATACAACAACCTATGACGAGTACAAGTCGACGACCATCAACTCGGTACAAGATACCGCCCATCTCCAGGAAATAATATGGATGCTTGTAACAAGACACAGGGAACTGGGAACAGATCTGAGCATCTTATCCTCTACCATCAACAATTGTATCAACATGTGCTTGGAGGAGCAGCATTATTACACCGCTAAATGCTTTGCGTACGTTATAAAGGGCGCTGCAGGCATGCTGGGGCCATTGAGTGTAGGCGACGAGTTTGCACTGCGTCGAGACGAGCTTGGTGCTATTCAACATTTTGGACTCAACCCCAATCTTCAGGAACTGCCTGACGAGCACGTCTTGGTGCATCTTTTGGTTGTGCAAGACTATCGCCTGTTCCACAAGCTCCTCCTTGGCTCATACCCTGGGCTTGGTACCCCTGACCAGCCAACGCCTGCCAAAGTATGCCTACGCTTTACGAGGTGCGAATTTCATTGCAAATGTAAGTTTACGTCATTTATATTCTACTGTCCATGTCTTGACTGTCTTGATTCTTCATCCATATCACATGGGTTATGGACAAGAAATTGTGCAAGTTTGCTAATCGACCGATCGGTAGTGGAAATCTCTGTTACGATCAAAGACTCTGAGCAGACTACGAGCCAGACACTCAACTTTAAGCCCAGAATTAAAAAGTGTCAAAAAGTGCGACCCCACAAGCAGGAGCTCTGGCTTTGGGATGAAATGCCCGCCCAATACCGCCAAGTCTCAGAGAGGCCGGACATTATCGAGTGGCAATATGATACAAGCGAGATCTTTGGATGTCCCTTGCCTGTTCCCTTTGCCAAGATCCCCAACCTACACCCGGCCTTGCACGCAGTGTCAGGAGACCGAATTTGGTTATTGGTGAGGCGGGCGCTCAGGTACCTGCTCGCCCGCAAGGATGACGGCAGAACACCAGAAAATGAAGAAGAAGCGGGAGCTCTCCAAGCCGCTCTAGACTTGACAAGGCCCTATCCCATTCTCCAAGATCAAGAAATGTTCGTCCAAGAAGCCCAGGACATGCTCAAATGGAGTAGCGAGCCTATCGACGAAGCCGAGTTCGAAGCCATCATGGATGCCATAGATGAGCAGAACGACATCTACGACATGTCTTACCTGTCGTGATAAAGGTTGTGCTCAAGGCAGCCACGACTCTCGATACCAAGAGCAACTTGGTTTCAGTTCAAGTCCAGGCAGAATGTCATTTAACCCAATGGCTGGCATTTGCACACCACGGACAAACTTGGCTTTTCAATGGCTTGCTCCACGGAGCAGTCGTCTTGGCATCTACCAGTTAAAGATTCAACATGGTATACGGAGGTGGCCTTTAATATTGTTTATATAATTAGATCCTTCCAAGATTGGAGCTTCCAGGTTCCCCGGATTGTTTGTTCGGGGATATGTATGTTTGGGGTCGTCGTTTACAAGAGCCGTCACTGCAAAAGAGCAATGATACAGGGATAGAGGCCATTCATGTTTCTACGGGCTTTTCAAGCTCTGTATTCTTATACTGTTTACTTGTTTTTGGTCTTTTCGTCACCACTTGCCGCCATGTTCTCGAAAACCTACTTGGCCGTTTCTTGTATTTTCGCAATGTTACAGATATCAGGCAAGAGAAAATCACGTTTGCGTTTTTGCTTTTGGTTTGGCATTGTTGAGCTTTATGTATCTTGATTTTGTGTGGTAGCTATTTGAAGACCATCCGATTTGTACATGAACATGTTAGTCTAATATGGGCACCATGAACGGATTTGATAATCTTGATTTTTTATCCGTTCCAGCTCTCTCAAGTGAAAACCTTCCATAGACCGGCGAGGTTGACCTCGTGATGTTATCACCTCATTGATGTGAAAGGGTTGAAGATTCCCATAATACCAGTGCCTCCGGCTCGTCTCTTAAGCTCCTCTTCCACCAGCTCAATAAACTCCTGGTCCTCCCTGGCCCATGTATTCACAGTCACCTCGTTGACTCCCATCATCTTCTGCGCCTCACGCCTCAGTGCTTCCTGTACCGCATCCGATAGGCCTCGATTTATGTGACCAGCAGTGTCCAGAAGCCTCCGTACAGTATCCTGCGCCGGCTCAGACCAGGCCAACACGGCCTCGTCGCGCTCGAATAGGATGCGCTCCCGGTGAATGTCCAGGGGCCCGCCCCAAACTCGCATGGCAAAATTCGGCCAGGCGCGCAAGAGCGCCGCGACCACTACGTAGGCATCGCCTCCGCAGGTGCAGCCCCAACCGTCCATCGGGTTGACAATATTGGCATACAAGGGTAAATGACGATGATTGATGGGTATGCTGCAGCCGTCGGTTGCCAGGACTAGGACTTGGCAGTCCCTGTCAAAGGTTGACGGCGACGGTCGTGGGCATAAATCATTATCTTGTTCAATGGGAGCTTGTAGCAATTCTGCATTCTCTTGCCACTCTTGCTCCCTCTCGTCCCCTGGTATTTCCTCAAATTCTTCCCTCACTATTTCTCCCAGCTCTTCTTGTGGAGCTGAAAGATTTGGGGACGGAGACGGACCGTTTGATATCTGCTGGGGCTGGTATGTCTCATGCACCAAAGCACGGAAAGAGCGTACTGTGGGGGCGGCAATAGACCTGATACGTGAGAATACACTTAGCAATATTCACGATTTAGTTTCTTGGAACAATAGTACTTGCCTAGCCCGAGTCACGTATAATCTCTTAAGCATCTCGATGATGGAATGATGGGCCGGCATCTTGTATCTTTATTGTAATGGCCAAGTCAATTGTGGTTTTCTTGGTCAAGTCAGGTACATTCACTGCAACTCCCAATTTGTTCGGAGTGACTCCATCGTGGACGCACCGCTTATATACTTTCGCCGTCAGCCTGGTGGTTCTCGGCAGGCCTTGCTAGACAAGAACTTGTTGTGGGATTTGGCCAGGTAGACAAAGACGCGTAGGTCGCGTACAAAGGATTGTTCTCCCATGTTCATTGACCGTTGTACGGTGGCTGCTTTTCCAAAGAGACAAGATAAAAGAAAAGTCAAGGAACAATGAATACAATTCCTTTCAGCCCCATGACAGCGGTGTTATAGCAGGTTTTGGCGCCTTTTGCCCCTGGGTTATCAGTCAACCCACCCAAGAAGTCAACAACATTTTGCAGCGAGCTCATGTGGATATCTACTTTAATTACTGACAAAAGTCGTCTACGAGATGATCAAATATCCACTGCATATCTTGACAGTATGACCAAATCCAATTGATATGCATCAGCATCAATATTAGCACGGTTCTATTCCTTTGAAAAGCTTCTCAATGCTGTGCATTTCAGTCTATGCAAATGCATGGCTGAATGCCAACCACGCATTATGCTGGTGATGTAGATGCAATCTGCTCAGAAATATGTGCAGTTTATATTCATAACTCTTAATCAAAAGGTAACAGGTAGTTGATCTCAAACTATAAAGTCTTTGTCAGTATTTGACATTGCTTTGTTCAAAGGTGTCTTGATCTATACTAAAGACAAAGAAACGAGACATTCTAGCGTGTATCAGTGCTATTGCGGATTCCACTGCATAACCATTTCTTATCTCCAATCGCTGGGAACATTTTGTCGTGTATTGGAGAGAATTCGATAATGAAGCAAATGTGCTTATTGAAGATGGTTCAGAGTCACGTACTGTGCCCGTTTCTCTATCGATCGAATCGAATAAGAACCTTGCTTTCCGTATGATTGCTGAATCGCTGGTAATACTCTGGCGCATCCTCGATTCCAATCTCGGCGCTGACAATAAAGCTTGGCGAGGCTGTTCCAGACGCAACGAGCTCCAGTAAAGGACCATTGATTTCAAGTGGCAGCGCAATACCGCTCCCCACAGACAGCCCTTTGCCCCAGAGGCCCGAGGCAGTATATTGCGCATCAGCATTTGCATTTTCCAAGCCGCCAAAGTAGACACCAATGATTCCCACTAGAGTTTGTCAGTAACACCCTGTAGTAAATCGGGTTTATACTTACAACCGCCGTACATGCCCGTGACATTGACCATTTGACTGGCCATGGAAGACGGGTCCATTTCGCCACTAGTATTGACTGCCTCGAATCCAACAGCATCAATCGATCTCCTCACTCCGTTTGGCTCCAAACTCAAAATTTCGGCGACGGGATCCGTTTCGAGAAAGTTGATAGGATGAGCTCCAATAGATTTCGCAATATCGAGACGCTAGATTTACATGTCAGTTGCACAACTGTGACTAGACATGGAGCATTCTTTTGTAACACTCACTTGTTGAACTTGGTCGATAGAGTAGATACGAGAAGCTCCACGGAGCTTGGCCGAATAGGCGACCAACAAACCCACAGGACCAGCTCCAAAAACTGCCACCGAATCGCCTGGTTGGAATCCGGAATAGGTCAAGCCGTTCCAGGCCGTCGAAAAGATATCGGCAAGCATGACATAATCACTCTCCAGGCTACGATCACTGGTAGAGTTGATTGGGATCGGGATCAAAGAGTCATCCGCAAAGGGTACTCTGACGTATTCAGCTGTACATGATGAATAAATACCATGCATCAGAGTATATGGGGGCGCTCAACGTACCTTGCAAGCCACCGTAGTCGGAAGAACCAACTCCAAACGAGACTGGATGGGGCATGGGATTCCAGTGTCCAGCGTCGGCATTATCTGGGATTATGACATAGTCTCCCAGGCTCAACGACGAGACTGCACTCCCAATTTCCGAAATGTAGCCAACCGCTTCATGACCTAGTGCGAATGGAACGTCGGCCGAGTAGCCATGATAAAAATGCAAGTCGGATCCGCAAATAGCTGACGTGGTGATCTTGACCACTACATCAGTCTCATTGACAATACTTGGCATGGGCAAGTCTACCACGGACACATTGTAAGGGCTATTGTACCAGACGCCACGCATTGTCAGACTGGTATTGAGCAACGCCATTTTGTGTAGTCAACAATTTTATGCTCGGTGGTTTGAGGTACGAGCAAATGATTTAGTAGCTTGGCGAGTCATTGACACGGAACAGGCACATGAATAATGCATCAACATATATTTCAACCAATCCTCCAATTGGAGCTATGAGATCATCATGATGCTGTTTTGACAATCGGCTGGAGTTTTGGCACATTACTCGTGCCTGGTCAGCTGTGACTACATACGGAGATTGGGTTTAAGAGCGGCTATAACGCTGCCAATGGTATTTGATAGTCGGCGATAAATGCGCAACATTATAGATAAAAGAAGGCTCCGAGGAAAGGCCGAGTGGACAGACATGTATGCAGTTGCCACCCTGTAGATATCGACTGCCGGAATGCACTACATGTGGAGAAACAAGCAAGTGGATTGTCAACGGCTGCGGGCCGTGGCCATGGTCGTCGATAGACTATATACCTGCCTGCAGATCTGCAATCGTTGCACGAGCCAACGCCCTAATGCTGGTATGGAGTTAAGCATATTCTCCGGCCCCTTTCCAAGCATTGTGGGTTTTGCGAATGCCAAGAAGTCTGGCAATTCCATCGGCAACCGAGTATCGCGACGACCTCGGTGTCGTCAACGCCTGAGCCTGCGGCTATCGCGCTATGCCATCTACATGGGTATTTGCCATCCGGGAGTCTTTTCATCAAGACTTCGGTATATCAAGGTGTCTTTTCTCACCTCTCGGTCGACTTTGCTTGAGAAAACATGTCAACTGTATCCTACTCGATAACATAGACATTCAAGAGCTTGCCATGGCTCTATTCAAAGAAATATTTACCCTGTTTCTATTCCTATCTCATGCACTCGGGCTTGTCCACGATTCTAGGCAGGTCTCGGTGGCTTGTGCGCAATCTGTATGTTGAGAGATAACGGCCCTTGGTAGCCACGGCCTTTTCAGACCTGTCCCGGTTTTTTCGTATTTAAGACTGTGCTAATCTCCGATATCAGTGCCAAGAGCTTGCAGAGACTTTTGGTGACAGATTACACTACTATGGCAACGACAGTTTCATCATTTGGGATGTCAAACAGTTGGAAGTCGAGTATGCCTGCCGGGTTGAGCCTGGCTCAACCGAGGAAGTGGCAGCAGTCCTCAAGACTGTAGTGGATAATTCGTGCAACTTTGCTGTCAAGGGCGGCGGCCATTCGCGATTCCCCAACGATTCAAACTCTGTTGGTGGCGTCACCATTGACCTCGACCTGCTCAATTCCATTGAATTATCAGAAGATCAGACCACGGTCACTGTCGGTGGTGGAGCAAACCATCTCCAGATTTATCAGGCACTCGATCCCTACGGCTTGGCTCATATCGGCGGCCGCGTAGGTAGTGTCGGCTTGGGAGGCTATACTCTTGGAGGAGGCACGTCGATACTCAGCGCCAAATATGGATGGGCGTTAGACAATGTCTACGAATACGAGGTATGTTGAGTTCTACGTTTTCTATCTAGGCCGAGCTAAATAGATATCCTCCAGGTCGTCCTTGCAAACTCGACCATCGTGACCGCATCAGAAACTCAAAACCCCGATTTGTATTTCGCCCTTCGCGGAGGTGGCAGCAACTTTGGCATCGTAACCCACTTTACACTTGCAGTCTACCAGCAAGGCCCTATATTTACGGGTTCTCGAACTTACAACAAGGACTATAACCAGACTCTGCTCCAAGAATTCTACAACGTCTTTGATGAAGAAGATGTCGACGGCGAAGTCGGACTGGAATACACTTACGCATACAATCAAACTTCCGACGATTACCAGTTTTCTGTTGTCCAGCGATACTCGGCCAACGTTTCTCAGACTAATGTCTTTTCTGCCATGGACAGAATACCGGCGTTAACAAGCTCTGATTACAATGGCAATATCAGTGGCTCATTGCCTAGCAATTATCCCTTGGGTGTAACAAGGTATGTACACCAGTCGAATCCTGATACATTATTCAAAGCTCATGAGGCCAGGAATGTTTTTGCAACCATTACACACTTTCCCTCCCTCGAGCTGACCAACCGTGCCCTTGCAATTTACCAAGCGGGCGTGCAACCTGTCAAGAACGTGACTAGCCTGAATGCAAGATGGATAACCTACTCTATCCCGGCTGCGGCGATTCAAGCAATGAAGCTGCGTGGTGGCAACGCCCTTGGCATCGACGTCGAGGGACACTTGCTTAGTAGGTAGTTCCAAGAAGAAAATCCGACTTGGCTGCAAAGACTAACCATTACCAGTCAACCTCTTAACCATGGGTTGGACCGAAGCTGCCGATGATGAGAGAATGTACGCTTTTGCAGATTATTTCATCACCGAGTTCCAACAGGCCGCAGTCGAGCTTGGCGCAAGCCATCCGTACTTGTACATGAATTATGCCAACAAAGGACAAGACATTTTTGGCGGATACGGACAGGACATCAAGGACAGGTTGACATTTATCCAAAAAGACGTTGACCCAAATGGTGTGTTTCGCTCGACTGGCTTGTGGACAGGATACATCAAACTCTTGTAACTACATTATCTGATTGCGGTGTTCCCATCAAATTATACAGACAAAAGAACTATAATTTGTCACCAATTTCGATGAATTAACTGGTGGGATTTGCTGGCTAGCACGGACCATGTAAACCGTTCCTGTAGAATGGCTTCACCATCCAGATGGATTTCACTTCGTACACCAGGTGACGGCAAATAGATCTATATTCAACGTACCGTACAAAGGGAATACTTCCCTTCGTACGATGGCCTGTAGATAACGCCTTCCGGCATTCGGATGCTAGCAGCCGTCAGCCACACTGTGGCTGTGGTGGCTAGCTAACCAGTTACATATGTATCTATCTAGATACCGTCCTCGTACGAGACCGCAAATCCCATTAATAACAGTTCCATAATAATCGTTAATATTTTCATAATTATTTTACAGTCAATTATACAACTGATTAAACGTGTAATGTCTTATTAATTTTTATTGAGCTTTTATGAATAAATAAAAAAGTTGAAATTTCAATCACCGTGATTTTAATAGTATATAAAAAAGAATTATAATTTATCCGCACCCGGGCACGTCGGTAGCTGTGCGCGTCGAGGTACTATTTCAGTACTTTATGACTGCCCGATTGCCAAGAAGCGAAGAGACAACATCAATTAAACTCATTTCATTCGGGGACGAAGACGAATCGCAGATCTCTAGATCAAGAACCTTTCCTCTAGTGTCACTTTGCCAGTGCGAATATCTTCGGATAGATCACCATTGTACACCATCAGTTCATTTATGTAAGCCTGGCCAACATAGATCAGTTCCCTTTCTTTCTGATCTTCAGTCCTTACTTTCAACGTATCATGATCCTGGTGATCAAGATACCTTCGCAGCACAACGGGGACCTGGCAGCCTAGGATGACATGTGTTTCGTCTCCGACTCTAAGGCCCTGTGGTCCCAGGCCACAAAGCCCACGTTCTGTTGTGAAGAATTGGCGTCCGGTACAAACTGCATCTCGCAAAGCAGAGTGTTTCTGGTCCATAATGTCAAAGCCTTGCTTACCTCCGTGTAGCGTAAGGTTGAAGATTCCATTTTCATCAAATGGTGTCTGGTGGGATGAGGTGGACTCAAGCGACGTGCGGCTTACGTACACTTTATGCCATAGCTTCCGCCACTCGTCGAGAACCTTCGTGCTGTCCCAGAGGCCGGTCAAAGACGAACGAGCGTGAGGCAAGCGGCGCTGTAATACCTGCCGCATATCGTGCCTCAAATGGAACACAGAAGGACTATAAACAGGCCCGATGGCAGATACAGTATCTCGAAGTTCCAAAAGGGCCGTTATCGGCAGCTTAGATGCATTTTCATCATTGAAAAAATTGGTCATGGTGTATTCCGAAACGGACATATTATCAGTTGCACTGAAAGGACCAGTACAGTCGTTCCCAGGAAGCCCTGTCCATAAAGGCCTTCTATGGACGCCTTCCGCAATCGCTGTAGGGTTCATGAAAGCAGGACACCAACTGGGTACAGCGGGTTCACTAACAATCGTCTCCTTAGTCGTGGTCCGTTCCTCAATATCCTTGAGGACTTGAGCCAAAAATGAGCGTCGATGGTTGATCCCAGATAAATGGAAACTGGATTGTTGCATACAATCAGCTAGATTTAATATGGAAAGACCTTTGGAGTTTCGAATGTGTTGCTTTGAAAACCCAAGGGTCAGTTCATATGCCTGCTTGGTATAGTCGGGCTTCTGAAGGATTGGTGCATCTATCACGCCTTGCAGTGCAAATATCTTGTCTCGTACGTCTGTTGCGTCTCTCATCCGGAAATCAAAGACGGGAGATAGCACATCGGAGGCGGTACCTCTCGCCAACAAGACTTCATTCTCTAGCCCATGACGGTCAAAAGCGCCGGCACGATTCCTGCAATAGGCTTCCAATGCAATAAATTCCTTGAAGTGAGCTCCTCGGCTGTGCTGATGGAATGAATGATATGATGCGACAGAGTGTACGAGGCGGCAGAACCTGTTCCATTCGATTTTCTGTCTTCCACAGATAATGAAAGCCTGTCGTGCGACAACAATCTCCTGCACCACCCACACTCTACTCCACCAAGGATGTTCTAGAAGCTTGATGATGGCTTTAACAGTGCCGTAATGTATACTGCTGGGTTCTCGCTGTGAGCGCGGTCTGCTGTTTTGCGAAAGTGCCTTGATATGTTCCAGCACGTGAGGAAGCCCTAATGGAACGCGAGGCCCCAGCCATACCAACACATTTTGGGCTTTGCAATAAATTTTGGACATGATCAAAACCTGTGCAGCCCGTTCGTCAATGTCGCATTGATTGATGCAGATTGCATCTATCCATAAGGTCCTGGAGCTTCTGGCATGCCGGAGGTGGGTCAGTGCCTGATAGACAGAAGCAGAAACCACGAAGGAGCTGCCATTGATGGTTATGCTGTTTCCTGGTGCGTCTCGCCCCCAGACGTATGATAAAGCGTCGAATTCTGGCATTTCACTTTTGGAGAGATAGGCTCTGTTTAGAAAGCATTCTATCGAATCCTGTCTCGAACCAGGAAGTAGAGTAAGAAGTCGTATCATAGTTGGGGAATTCTGATTTTCATGCTCCTCTGGTGTCAAAGACATTGAGACATAGATTTTGGAGTTGGAGTGAAGAGTCAGGGACAAATCATTGCTCTCTGCTTTTCTGTAGGCTTCCAACAAGTCGATGTAGACCTTTTGATAATTTTTGAACACGACAAACATCTCAATGAATGGACCAAGTATAATAACCATTGATGAAAATGAGTCTAAGTCATGGTCTAGACGTGATATTGCTGTAATCGCGACCGTATTTGCTATTTGTTTCCACATCGATAGCTGATTGAAAACGCGTCGCCTTATCTGATTGATAGCGTAGTCAACGTAATCCATTGCAGTGGTGTTGGTGCAGGTCCAGAGTATCCCTCGTGACAACGAGATCAAAGTCAGAAATAAGGATGGCGTAGGGATCCATAACCAAAGGCGATCCAAATTAAAAACAAAATGATAGTAATTGAGCACCGCTGCATTTCGTACCGCGGCGAAAGCTTTAGGGCAGAAATGTCGAATGAATAGCTTCAGCAGATATAATGGAGCATTAAGGGAAAAGATGAAGAGCCAGAAAGGACCCGTTAGAAATAGGGAAGCCACAACGCAAGCGGGTCCAAAAAGCGGCAGCAAAAGGATGATGAATATTTTCCCCAGGCTGGTTATTTTGGGACTCAGGTAATCAGCGCATACTGCCGCATAGTGGCTCATAAGCGACGTCTCAGGGCTGAATACTAAGACAAGGCATGCCAGAATATTCATCACCGTGAAGCAAAGGCCCAAAAAAATGCAGACCGTGATGAATAACAATACAAGCGAGCCAAAAACAAACAAAAACCCAAGGAGGAGCGAAATGCGAAAGATCAAGGCGAGCTCCTCTCTTAGCTGGCGCACAGTCATATCTACGCGCTCGTCAAGAGAATTGCGACAAGTGGCAGGCAGTCTCCCCGATTCGTGTGTCAATGGAAGGCAAATGGAACTTTGAAGCATGTGCAGGCCTTAAAGTCGAGTGTTTAGGTAGATGGGACTTTGTAGCTGTGAAGACACAAAGATGCGGGGAATTAACTCCTAATGTCATCATCAGTCGAAGTGGTACAATAATGAACCGTCTTATGTATAATAACCTACAGTTATGAATGTGTGCCCAGCCCGACCCCGCAGCGCATTCCAGCCTCCTCCTTTTCCGTTATTACCTTAGCATACTAGGAAATAAAAATAATAAATTTAGTCGAGGTTATGATATTAAAATACAATATAATTATAAGATAATATATAGCAGGGTTACTAATGTAATACCGTATAAATTGAATATATCAATAGGCTTTCATAACTTATCTTTTTAGTGGTTTTGTTATTGCAAATAGTGATATCGTCGCCAGAGGACTTCGGCCCTTGGTAAGGAACGGCACCCCATATAAAAGTCAAGACGAAAGCAGCCGTGATGAGATTTCAACGGCAACTCTTCGTGGTGCTACCGTTCACAGTAAACTTACCAGTTTGTTCCGTGTGGCAAGCATCCACCGAGTAGCATCACATTCATTTCCTACTAGAATCATTGCAACATCTTGGCAAGTTGCACATAATGGTGTCGAAAACAAGAAACTTCTGATTCGTGGCATGGGTAGTACCTGGATACATGACTACCTACTGTGTGATACATTCCTGGTATGGCCATCTCGACGCTCCCCCCTAAACAACAGTGGACTTGTCTCGGGCATCACTATCGTTCACCCGAGCAGCAAGTGATTTAATCATGGCTAGAGTACCCAAAGGCTGAAAAATCTCTTCACGAGTGACATGGCCCTCCATTTGACCAAACCAGAGATGATGTGGATCATCGAGATCTTGCCATTTTAGCAGCATCGGTCGATCTGTCCATGTACATGGGCGACGTAGCAGCTGCGTACACGACTCGCACTCCCCCGAATCTCCAACGCATTCAAGCTTGGATGCTGAAATCTGTGTCAGCCACCAGCAAAAGTCGCACATGGTGAGATTCTTTGATTGGTCACTATTGTCTGGGCACTTGATACTTTGATCTTTGAATGAAGGAGCAGCACCTGATCCAATAGCCAGGAATGGATATTTCTGTGCCATTAGAGCAGCATTGTCCTCCATTGTCATCAGGCGAGGGAGTGGTGTGTAATGAAATTCGGGATGTGGAATAGTTGTGAATCCGACAGTCTGAGCCAATTGATTGTAGTTCAAGTGCTGCATTGACTCTACTGAGAATGATTGGTCCTTGAAATGGGGAGTGGTCGTCGCATATCGTGTACCTTCGAGAAGCTGGAGAATTCTCTTCACTTGCAGCCACGGTAGAGGTGTATAGTTGCCTGCCTCCACCGCGCTGAGCGGATGTCGATGGAAGATGCGCGTGCAATACCATTTCTTGGTATCCTCGTCATATGACTCAATCGAGATGCTCATGCATGACCCTTGGCCAAAGTCCTCGTACACGCCAATGTCGGGAACAATGATGTAGGGACGGGGATGCCGTACTTTGTCAACTGTGACCTCTATCACTAGATTGCACAATTTGCCGGCCTGGATATTGCCACCATCAATTGTTTGCTGATTGATGGTGAAATTGAAGTTGGGCGCAAGGGCTAATTGAGCGAATCTGTGATTCTTGTCTTCCCAAATTGTAGGAAACAAGAACTCAGAAGAGTATCGATACATTTCCGGCTGATGCGGCGTTTCTGGTATGATCTGACGAAAACAGGATCTACCAGCAGTATCTCCATGGATGACAACCGTGTAGGGAGTAGTTGTGGTATCCATATACTGATCAAGTAGATTCGTGGAGACTTTTGCACCGATTCGAAGGTAACTGGTTGGTACCATAAACACAACAACACCATGCCCTCGTTTGAATTGGCAAACACTCCATTGGCCATTTGGGCTGACTTGGGTGCGCCAGCCTAGCTCACCCTTCATCAATCTCGTCATGCCTCTATCGGAAGCCTCTGTTGACACGAACTCTGGTGGGATCTGCTGGCGTATGCGTACTGGGATATCTGTCGAGTTGACGTCGAACGCGTAATCGTATTCCATCTCTACCGCGTTGGGCAAGAGTCGACTCTTGAGGTGCGACATGATGGGCGTGCTCATAAGTGGTTAGAAGAATGATGCATCAAGGAGTTATCATGCAGAGCGATGCGCGAGAACAGGATTGAATACTGAACTGATCGTGGGTGAAGAGTGGTGGCGGCGTTTGTAGTTTAATGTGCAAACGTTATCAAACAACGTTTTTGATTACTGGTCACCCAGGTTGCTGGTTTTTAGAATCTTTCGGCTAAAGTCTTTTGAAAATGGAGTAAACATACTTTCGCGAAAAGTAATTAAAACACTTTATATAGGATGAATGCTTGCGTAACGCTGCCCTTGATCAGGTAAGCGTGCTGCGAATGGGAATGCGAGTTGCAAGTTTTTATATCGTATGAATTGACCGGCAGCTTCAAGTGGAGGTCAATGGAGTAGTAGAGTGAATATTAATTGACAATATATGGCCATGACCGTATTGCCACCACGGAGAGAAGGGTGGTGGTGAAAGAGAACGTAGTTCCCAAAGCAACTACCAAGGTCGTGGTTCGATAAGATGACGCTATGCTGTTGTACTGATGCGACTGCCGTATAATTGATGTTGGATTCTTCGTAGTTTATGCCTGCCCAAGAGCCACGGCACCACCCGGCCATCTTCACACAAAGCACTGAGATGATCCGAAGCGCTCCTTTACCGGCGTCCTTGCCTGCCTGCCCCCAATAACCCGGCCTACCTCCACATGTGCCACCACCGGACGGAACTTCCTCCAGCTTGAACCCCTATGCTTTGTAGCCATTTTTGGTGGCCGTTACAGGGGCTTGGACCTGAGTCGTGTCCCACTCTCATCACCATAACTTAGTTTGTGCTGGTTGTGCCAAGAAACCATGTTGTGATTAATATTATTTGTTACTTTCTCTAACACTGCCCAAGTAATCCCCCAACCACTCGCTAGGTAGTATTTATTGGTGGACGGTATAAACTAGAGATACAGTCCAATATCATAAATCTAAGGTGACAATGAACGAAAGGAGCGAGCAGATGGCATCCTGTCTTATAGTTTCGCCGTTATCGTTTTGGCCTTGGCGGTTATTTTCAGATAAATTATAAATCTCTTTCTTTTTCTCTTTCTCTTTTTCTCTTTCTC